TGTGAAATTTATCAAATTGCCGATTTTTACTTCTCGATGTCGTCCGGAACATTTCTTTTCTGCTTGCATCCATGAATATGTGCTTTTATTCATTTGAAAATTCATTCCCAACATCAGTTTCTCGTTAGACGAAGCGTTGTTAAGATTACGATCATCCGGTCTATATAAGCTTTACTTTTTTTGGTTTTTCGAAGTGCAGGAATGTCACAAAACCAAATCGGAACTTGAGCTTTATTATGTCTACGAAATTTGTATCAGTGCTAAATGTGTATGCTAAAAGTGTTTGCACTACTTTGCGTATGTACCGTAGTCAACTTTTCTCAATTATCTAGCGTAAGTTATGAATAAAATAATGTCGTTATGTTTATGTGATATTTCATAATGTCGTTATGTTTATGTGATTTGGATTAGAACTCACTTTATCATATTGTATGATGTGAGGTATTGTTACCATGTCTATAGCTTATTTAATGTGTTTGAAAGTTTTATTATTAATTCATTAATTCTTGTTATGTCTATGTAATTTGATTATCGAATAGTTTGATAGGCAGACTATTCGATAATCAAATTACATAAAGTTTGACAGGGAAGCATCGATGGATCTATAGCTCCTGAACGCTGGATATATTTACACATCAGTCTTAAAAAACGAAAATTATATACTAACCGTTAAAATTATAACTACTACTTTTGTCACATGGCATTGACAAAACTTTTCTAGCATATTTGAAGTCTTTCATAAACAAATCATTGTGACGATGATTTGAATATCACCTGTGATATATCCTCTGTCAATAATTTCATTTCATTCTAAATTCCCTGTTTATTCTTTCATAAATTAAATCGTTCTTCATGTTTTTCAAAAAAATTTTTTTCTCAGATAATATGCTCAACGTTAATGATTTCCAATACCTTTCGTTTTAAAATTTCACTTAATTTATTCACGAGTATTGAAAAATTATTGTTGATATCGAAATACGATATATTCCATAAAATTAAAAGAGAAAGAAAAACGAAGAGAATTCGTTTGTACATTTTACTATTGTTAATTCTGACTGACGTGATACCTATGTCTTTTGTAATTATTAAATTATTGTAAAACATCTTGAAAAGTCAATTATTTCCTATCATGCACTCCTTTTTCTCAAAATTTGTTAACTTACCTTTTTAAAATCTGGTTTTATTTTGATTAATGTTGTCGTCGTGTATACTTTTATTTTAATGGGTTAATAAATTATTGAAAATTTTCCATATTTTGATTTGCAGGTCCTATCTGCTTAAAGAAAGAAACGAAAAAAAAATGCTCTAAAATAACGATAATTTAAATGATAGAGCCAATGATTTAATGCATATCGTTGTGTATGTTAAAAATGATACGTACGCTTATGTTTGAAAAGTTAAAATAATTAAAATAATTTTTTGGTAAAACAAATAATCATATTGTTAAGGCATTATATGTTGCATTAAAGAGAAATGAAACGAAACTAAAAGACAAGATCTATTTCATAATTTAGTAAAATTTCACGCTATTGATTACAATTGATAATTTTCAAATTCGATATTTTATGGGTTTAATCTTTTACGGTAGCAATAAAGTTATAATGAAAATTAAGTTCCTACTGAGATCTTTTTTTTAGTTTTAATACAACGTGTAATTCTTGAATTCACAAAAGATGAAAGTGACGAAAAGATAATGATAAGTGATATCTTAAACCGGAAATGAAAGAATCGATTTAAGAAGCAGTATTGTAATATAAATACTACGGGTTTTCAGAATCTCATCTTCCTTATCACTAACTTCTCCGACATGTACAATTAATTAAATGAGTGATTATAATGAATTACGAACCCAATAATTGACAATATGACAATAAGAAAATTAAGAAAATATATTGAAAATTTAATTGTATATGAAGCGATATATTTTAATATAACGAAATCGACAAACCATTGTTGGAAGGCGACTTCATGCCCGTGTCGCTCTTCGAAATACTGGCATGTGTAGTAGAAGCCGAAATATTTTCAACATCATCATTATGTCAATTTCGATTAGTTACACTCAATTATAAATTAAAAAATTTTGTCATAACTTACTCCATTACTATAAAATTAATCAATTACACGAACAAAACAAAAGAAGTAAATTAATCAAATATAAAAATATATCAACATATGTTTGTTTCTGTAAATATATTTCAATTAATTATGAATTAGAATATACATATATTTATAATGCATATTGCTGCATGCACGTTGTATGCGTATTGTAAGAGAGAAGACAACGCATCTTATAAAATAATGATTGCAATTCTGAAAGTTTTTCATAAAGCGAATATCAAAGTGCAATACATTGGTGTTTTGGCTTGTTTATATTGTGTCGTATAATTTTGTTTAATATGGCATTTGGCTTAGTTGGCTTGCTGATGATCGTTTTATTATCGTTACTTTTTACCCTTTCACCTTTCACATTGCTTTTTTCTACAGTCTTAAATTTTGAAAACAATTTTAAAGAATTTACAGCTTAAAACTGGTTATATTATCACGAGCATGAATGCGATAGCTGTATTACGCGGCGATAATGTCAGTGGAATTATTCGATTTAAACAGGTAAATATGGTTGGAATTCGCTTATTGTGAAGTATATAAGATGAATTAAAACTTCCTAACACGGAGAGCTTTTTTATTCATCAAAAGTTACTCATTTTATATATCACAAATGTTTGGTTATTCATTTTTAAAAACACATTCTTTTTTTTTAAAGGATAAAGAAGGCTCTCCAACAACCATTAATGGTGAAATCAAAGGTTTAACGCCCGGTTTACATGGTTTTCATGTTCATCAGTATGGTGACACTACAAATGGCTGCATTTCTGCTGGTCCACACTTCAATCCTTACAATAAAACACACGGCGGTCCAACTGTTAGTTTTGTTCTATCTTCAAGGAGGAGGAGATTACGTGAAATATATGCTGATTTAATTAGTTTAATTTCTGAAACAATGTATAGTCTTAAGTGTTTATGGCGAGATGAGTTGTGTACATAAATTGCAAATTACTTTAAATCTTAATAAAGAATATGATGACTTGTGAGCAAATAACATTAATGGAAAGTTCTTTGATTTTTATTTACAACCCAAAATTAATTTTTAGGATGAAATGAGACATGTTGGTGATCTTGGAAATGTTGTAGCTGGAGCCGATGGCACCGCGCACATTGATATTTCTGATAAGCAAGTACAGGTACATCAAAATTCATGGTTGCAGCGTCATAAATGAATTTTATATTTCTATCATTTATTTTCAGTTATCGGGTCCAAATTCGATAATTGGCCGTTCAATTGTTGTACATGCTGATCAAGACGATCTCGGGAAAGGAATTGGCAATAAGAAGGATGAGAGTCTGAAAACTGGTAATGCTGGTGCCCGTGTCGCATGTGGTATTGTTGCCATTGGTGCTGCTTCCTGAATCGATTTTCTTTTCATCAATTTTTCTTTTAGAATAGAAGATTTAATGCTGTAAGTGTGGTTTATCAAATATGATTCCCTCATTCTGCAATGTTTCTGTCTTCTGTGACATTTCCCTGTACGAAAAAGAATGCCTGTTCCGTTGAGAGAGAAATGTGCACCTCACTTTCTCTCCATTTTTAAATATTAATTGCGGTATTGTCTCTTATCATTAGATCCAACCATTTGTTGTATTGTTAAATTGTTAAAAATTTAAAGTAGTAAGTGCCTCAGCATCATCCATTTAGAATATCAAATGATGAGCAATTTAAAAGACAAAAAAAAAGCACTTTTCGATTTCGCGGTGTTTTCTGTAGATTTCTGCACATCTCACAATAGATTTCTCCAGTACTTTTGATATTCGTTAATGTTTTAATAATCGTTAAATTACATGAACATGGAAGTCTATTTATTTTCCGATGTCGATTCAGAAATTAGCCAATGTTTATCTTTTTAGTTTATCTTTGCATCTCTTAAATTTTAATCACAAAGTTTCACTTGTATAGTTCGAAATCTTAATTTCTGGTAGAAAATGGGAAAGACCTGCATTTATCTTTATGAAATGATTTTTTCGATGCTGTATTTTAATATAACATACAATAACAAATATAATTATGTAATAACAACGAGAAAAATCACATGTTGTACTTCATATTATTGGAAGAACTGTTGGTAAAAGCAACCTGCAAGACACGGAAACATGCAAATTTCTCATCTAACAAATAAAAAATCTATTTAACTTTGCAAATGTTAGTTATTATCTTATGTTGGCTTTTTTTAAATCCTTACCCATAGTTGAAGGTATCAACAAAAGTACGAATTATTATTGAGTGGCTTAGAATTGATAGTCAGTTTTTTTCTGAAAAACTAAAATAATATTTTAACACAGCAATGGATATGCATAAGTTCCAATATCAGGTCTTAAATAAACTTGTCGTAATAGAAGAAATTTAATTTATTGGGACGAATGTTTGAAAAATTAGAAACTTCCTGACAGCAATCTTTTTTCTGGGACTAGTTTTCGATGTTTTTTGAATACTATGAGAAAATATACATGGACAGTCTAATTCTTCATTTTTAATTTTTAATACCAAATAGATATTGTTGGTGTTTTTTATATTAATATTTGAATTAAAATTTAAATTTAGAGAAATATTTTAATCCTTTTTGACAAGTGAGAGATATATTGAAGTATAAAATAAAGACGACACATGAAGAATTAATTTTAATCTTTTACTTTATTCGTTCTTATTAGATGAAGCTTGTAGATGAAATTGTGACATGTACAAGAGTGACAAATATTTTGTCAAATTATTTTACATATATATATGTATTTGCACGATATTGTCTAATAAACGTTTATCAAAATTTTAAAATACACTACGACTACGGTCGACAAATAATTCACAGAATTGAATGATTAGCAATACTGTTGGAAACCGAACTGAAGTGGTTGAGGAAGTATATTAGTAAATTTCATTTTTAAAATAAATGAATTTAAGTTAGAGCAGTAACGCCAACAATACCACACACAACACGCCCACCAGCATTACCAGTTTTCAAACTTTCTTCCCTTTCATCACCAACTCCTTTACCGAAATCATCTGCCTTGGCATGCACCACAAGCGAACGTCCAATTATTGAAATTGGGCCTGATAACTAAAATTATTAAATTAACGGAATTTAGAAAACAATAAAACATATTTTAAAGTGAACATTTTCAAATTATTTATTTACCTACCTTTATATCATTACTGATAATATTAACATGAGCAATGCCATCATTTCCAGCATTAATGTTTCCAAGATCACCGATATGTCTCATTTGATCCTGAAAATTAAATCAATTACTTAATTTCTGACAAAATTATTTATTGCTAAAAATAACCTATTTTATTATTCCTTGTCAGTGATATAACTTCTCAATTTTCTATCACTTAAATATTTGCAAACATTTAAAACTTAATATTTCGTTTCAAGAATTATTCGAAACCTTCGAATGATCGAAAAATGACTTAGATAAATTTTAAATCATATAAAACTTTCAATTATTATCAGAAATTATCTCATATCATATCATTCTCTTTTCTTTTCTTTTGGATAGAATGATAGAATGAAACTAACGGTTGGACCACCGTGAGTATTTCCGAAAGGATTGAAATGTGAACCGGCAGATATACAATCATTTGTTGCGTCACCATATTGATGAATATGGAAACCATGCAAACCAGGTGTTAAACCACTAATTTCACCATATATTGTTGTCGGCGAATTTTCATCATTCTGTTAAATTAAAATATTTCTCGAAAATTATCAATTAATGAAGTAAAATTAGAGTGATAGCATATTCAACGATTTAATGAAATAAAAAAACTTATCCAAGAAAATAAATTATTATAGAATATTTTGTTTTGAATCTTTTATTTGTTAAAATAAGTATTGAAAAGGTGAAGTGAGAATATTGATTGATATATCAATTGATAAAGGATAAATCAGAAAGCAATTGCTCACGTAAAAACGTATCAACAATTAACTGTTGTCTAATAAAACTACGTTAAACGTGCTGTAAGCAGGTTGAAATGAACACAGAGAAGTTGTATGAAATATTTTAAAATAAAAATAATTGCATTAATTGTAAATTTTCATACTCCTAAATGAATTTACCTGTTGAAAATAAATGATTCCATTAGCAGTATTACTACGTAATACTGCGATTGCTTTCATATATGTCATACCTTCGCTTTGCATATTTGGCTAAAAATTTTATAATTTAATATTAAAAAAAATGAAATTATGCAATAGAAATTAGAGAGAAATAATATAAGCGAATTGAATAAATAATTAATTAGCTAATTATTCAATGAAAAATTTAGCTTATTCCGTTTTTTTTTGTTTGTTTTCTTTCCATGCGATTACGTAAAAGTTCACGTACTCTAAAATTGGCTTGGCGTGGCATATGCATTGAATGAGCATACGTGACAGAAATTATATGTGGTAAAATGATGAGAAATGAATGCATCATCTGAAACTTATTATAATAACATTTCGGATAAATATTTTGGACAATAATTTTGAATCAGAAATTACGAATGATTATAGTTGTAATGATTCTTACATATGTTAAATGGGAAAAATTAATGAAACATTATGATAGTGTTAATTAACAAGTAATATACGAAAATATTAAATGCAATAAGTTTGAATCAAATATAATTAATCGCTGTAATTATAATAATTATTACGTTATATCGTTTTAGATGACAGTACTTTTTTTTATAAACAATTTTTATGACAATAACAATAAATATTTATGTATTAGAACTTTTGTAAACAATTTTTATGACAATAACAATGAATACTTATGCATAAGAATTTTTATAAACAATTTTTATGACAACAACAATGAATATTTATATATAAGAAGGTATGTAAATATGGATTTAAAAAAATAGAGATATGTGTATATACGGTAGATCAGCTTATTTCATATGAGATGAAGTAATAAATGAAAGGAACAATTAGCGTTCAAATAATTAACAGTGAATAAATCGGTTCGATTCATTTGGAATGAATTGTTACAACTTTTCACCATTACTTTTAAGTGTTGTAAGCACACACTCATTCACCGTATATGTTATTCTTTTCTTTTCATTTGTAATGTTTTATTAATTTTTTAATGATTAATGATTGTCATCATTTAAGTTGAGCAAAATGATCGATTTCAAAATTCACTGAGAAATATCAGAAAAAAAAAAGGGAAATGATGATAGTTTTAATTTCATCGTACTTTCATCAAATAATTTCAATCACTAATTATCTCATAATTTATCAGAGTGATGATTGATTAATCCAGTGATAATGACTAGAATCTATAACTACTTTTCATCAAAATGATAATAACATGCAAATAATAATTGTTACCATTAAGTATTTAAATGAGGTAAAAAAATTGATGATGATATCTGCTATCTTAATTCTAATTAACCAATTTTTTTCAATCACAAATAATACATCTCCCAATGATGGAGAAAATTTGAAATGAAAGATATTAGTAAAAGTAATCAATAAACTTGAACAATTATTTTAAAATATCATCACATTAACAATTTCCAAATTAAAATTATATTTGGGCAAATTAGCTTTTTCAGTTCTTTTTTGTTTTTTAACAGAATAACTATCAGTTTTTTCTCTTTGGTTAAAGGTCAGAAAAGATGATGTAAATTGGAAATTTATTGACAATCACAAAATATTCTTTAGTCAATGTGTAGCATTAATGTTTATTTGACGAACAGCGATGTATTATAATTCTAATTAGGGATAGTAATGATATAATTCATATTTCAGTTAAATGAAAATTTGTTTCTTTTTATTCATTCTCTTAAAGATGGATGAAGTATATAAAAGAAGGAAAGAAAAAGGCATATAAATTAAATCCAGCTATATTAGATATAATAATACTTTTCCAAATCATTTCATACTTCTGTTATGCTAATAACCAATATGATATAGATAAAATGCATTATTAGAAATTAAAACTTTGCAGAAATTATTAAAATGATATCTGATATCTTTCTTGCAACTATGGCAAAAAAGAAATAATTAAGATTGTAATTATAAAATTTTAACAATATAAAATATCAGTTTGATTAAAGTTTGATAATGTTAAAACAAAAATTTTCTGATAATTAAAAATCCTTTCCTTCTCTTTAGCTTATTTTACATGGATTTATTTTTTTGGAAAAATGGAAATAATATATTCATATTGATAATCACATTGAAGCTATGTTACCCATTGATAAATAATAATAGATATTAACATTGAAGCCATATTACTCATTGATAAATAATGATAATACTATGCGATAGTGAATGATGATAATGTTGAGAGAAATGGTTAGTATTATCTTTTCTGTTAATCCTTTTTGCTTTTTCTTCCGAATAATGAAATTTCCACTGTGAAATAAAAATATCGAAAATTTCTGCTTAACAATAAAATAACGATAATTTAAATGATAGAGCCAATGATTTAATGCATATCGTTGTGTATGTTAAAAATGATACGTACGCTTATGTTTGAAAAGTTAAAATAATTAAAATAATTTTTTGGTAAAACAAATAATCATATTGTTAAGGCATTATATGTTGCATTAAAGAGAAATGAAACGAAACTAAAAGACAAGATCTATTTCATAATTTAGTAAAATTTCACGCTATTGATTACAATTGATAATTTTCAAATTCGATATTTTATGGGTTTAATCTTTTACGGTAGCAATAAAGTTATAATGAAAATTAAGTTCCTACTGAGATCTTTTTTTTAGTTTTAATACAACGTGTAATTCTTGAATTCACAAAAGATGAAAGTGACGAAAAGATAATGATAAGTGATATCTTAAACCGGAAATGAAAGAATCGATTTAAGAAGCAGTATTGTAATATAAATACTACGGGTTTTCAGAATCTCATCTTCCTTATCACTAACTTCTCCGACATGTACAATTAATTAAATGAGTGATTATAATGAATTACGAACCCAATAATTGACAATATGACAATAAGAAAATTAAGAAAATATATTGAAAATTTAATTGTATATGAAGCGATATATTTTAATATAACGAAATCGACAAACCATTGTTGGAAGGCGACTTCATGCCCGTGTCGCTCTTCGAAATACTGGCATGTGTAGTAGAAGCCGAAATATTTTCAACATCATCATTATGTCAATTTCGATTAGTTACACTCAATTATAAATTAAAAAATTTTGTCATAACTTACTCCATTACTATAAAATTAATCAATTACACGAACAAAACAAAAGAAGTAAATTAATCAAATATAAAAATATATCAACATATGTTTGTTTCTGTAAATATATTTCAATTAATTATGAATTAGAATATACATATATTTATAATGCATATTGCTGCATGCACGTTGTATGCGTATTGTAAGAGAGAAGACAACGCATCTTATAAAATAATGATTGCAATTCTGAAAGTTTTTCATAAAGCGAATATCAAAGTGCAATACATTGGTGTTTTGGCTTGTTTATATTGTGTCGTATAATTTTGTTTAATATGGCATTTGGCTTAGTTGGCTTGCTGATGATCGTTTTATTATCGTTACTTTTTACCCTTTCACCTTTCACATTGCTTTTTTCTACAGTCTTAAATTTTGAAAACAATTTTAAAGAATTTACAGCTTAAAACTGGTTATATTATCACGAGCATGAATGCGATAGCTGTATTACGCGGCGATAATGTCAGTGGAATTATTCGATTTAAACAGGTAAATATGGTTGGAATTCGCTTATTGTGAAGTATATAAGATGAATTAAAACTTCCTAACACGGAGAGCTTTTTTATTCATCAAAAGTTACTCATTTTATATATCACAAATGTTTGGTTATTCATTTTTAAAAACACATTCTTTTTTTTTAAAGGATAAAGAAGGCTCTCCAACAACCATTAATGGTGAAATCAAAGGTTTAACGCCCGGTTTACATGGTTTTCATGTTCATCAGTATGGTGACACTACAAATGGCTGCATTTCTGCTGGTCCACACTTCAATCCTTACAATAAAACACACGGCGGTCCAACTGTTAGTTTTGTTCTATCTTCAAGGAGGAGGAGATTACGTGAAATATATGCTGATTTAATTAGTTTAATTTCTGAAACAATGTATAGTCTTAAGTGTTTATGGCGAGATGAGTTGTGTACATAAATTGCAAATTACTTTAAATCTTAATAAAGAATATGATGACTTGTGAGCAAATAACATTAATGGAAAGTTCTTTGATTTTTATTTACAACCCAAAATTAATTTTTAGGATGAAATGAGACATGTTGGTGATCTTGGAAATGTTGTAGCTGGAGCCGATGGCACCGCGCACATTGATATTTCTGATAAGCAAGTACAGGTACATCAAAATTCATGGTTGCAGCGTCATAAATGAATTTTATATTTCTATCATTTATTTTCAGTTATCGGGTCCAAATTCGATAATTGGCCGTTCAATTGTTGTACATGCTGATCAAGACGATCTCGGGAAAGGAATTGGCAATAAGAAGGATGAGAGTCTGAAAACTGGTAATGCTGGTGCCCGTGTCGCATGTGGTATTGTTGCCATTGGTGCTGCTTCCTGAATCGATTTTCTTTTCATCAATTTTTCTTTTAGAATAGAAGATTTAATGCTGTAAGTGTGGTTTATCAAATATGATTCCCTCATTCTGCAATGTTTCTGTCTTCTGTGACATTTCCCTGTACGAAAAAGAATGCCTGTTCCGTTGAGAGAGAAATGTGCACCTCACTTTCTCTCCATTTTTAAATATTAATTGCAGTATTGTCTCTTATCATTAGATCCAACCATTTGTTGTATTGTTAAATTGTTAAAAATTTAAAGTAGTAAATGCCTCAACATCATCCATTTAGAATATCAAATGATGAGCAATTTAAAAGACAAAAAAAAAATACTTTTCGATTTTGCGGTGTTATCTGTAGATTTTTACACATCTCACAATAGATTTCTCCAGTACTTTTGATATTCGTTAATGTTTTAATAATCGTTAAATTACATGAACATGGAAGTCTATTTGTTTTCCGATGTCGATTCAGAAATTAGCCAATGTTTTTTAACTTATCTTTGCGTCTCTTAAATTTTAATCACAAAGTTTCACTTGTTCAGTTCGAAATCTTAATTTCTGGTCGAAATGGGAAAGACCTGCATTTATTTTTATGAAATGATTTTGTCCGATGCTGTATTTTAATATAACATACAATAACAATTATAATTATATAATGGCAACGTGAAAAACCACATGTTGTACTTCATATTATAGAAAGAACTGTTGGTAAAAAGCAACCTGCAAGACATGGAATGACATAAATTTCTCGTCTTTCTTCCCTTTCATCACCAACTCCTTTACCGAAATCATCTGCCTTCGCATGCACCACAAGCAAACATCCAATTATTGAAATTGGGCCTGATAACTACAAATGTTAACGGAATTTAGAAAACTATAAAACATATTTTAAAGTAAACATTTTCAAATTATTTGTTTACGAAACCTTTATATGATTGTTGATTCCCAAGGATCACCGACATGAAGTAGAGAATGAAACAATTAGCATTCAATAATTAACAGTGAACAAATCGGTCCGGTTCATCTCGAACGAATTGTTACTTCACATATATATTGATATTTCATGCATGTGTACACACACACACACACACACACACACGCACACACACACACACACGCTGATACTGACACAGACACACACACATATGGTGGGTTTCAACAATTTTAAACTTATAATAAAATTGTTTTTAACTTGCTGTCATCAATACATACAAGATTGAGTTATGTACATTGTTACGTTTCTCGTAATATAATGAAATTTGAATTGGTCATTGGAAGTTATAATTGCAAGTTTGTTTTTAATTTCTTAATTAATTTACCTGACAAATTCAAATTCAATTTTTTTTTTCAAATTTATTTATTCATATTTTAAATTGGAAAACCCTCATTTTGTTTTAATAGATTAAAAGTTATTCGAAATTTTTATGGATGGAAAAAGAAGAGAAAAAGGAAGGTGAAATTTTAACATCCTTAATTTCTCTGTCTCTTCCTGGCACCGTCTGTTGTTTGAGCTAAGACAAATAGCACTTAAAACTTATTTCATTCGGGTAATCCGTAGTGATTTAGCTATTTCAACCATTTGATGAGTAATATTTATCAATTATTGAATGAAATAACAGTAAAAGAGCATTGAAGAATTTTAGAAAATAATTTTCAACGTGAAGCAAAAAATTGCAAAATTTTTATTAAAATTTTAAATTACATTTTAAATTATTAAATTAAATTAAATTACATTTTAGAAGATATTATTAAAATAAATTAATGAAATTATCAAAAACAATTACTAATTAAATGTAATTTTCAAAGACAAAATGAATTGCAAAAATGCATTTTTGAACGATTTCATTTCATTCATTCTTTGCCAACAATTTCAGAAATAAAATAATTAAACAATTAAAAATGAAATTTTCAATTAATGATTTTAAAATATTCGTATTATTTTCTGTGTGTTTTGAAAAAAATGACCTGTCGTATAATTATTTGAAGAGATTACAATCGAATTACTCATGGCACTAACTAAAATATGAATGATAATAAAATGATAATATTATGATTTAAACTGATGATATTAACTAAAATATGAAAGATAATTAAATGATAATATTATGATATTAATTTAAAAAAAGAAGTTATCAAAGTCTATTTTAAGGCGATACTCTCTCTCTCTTGTAGTATGTATGCAACAATTTTGTTTGATTTCTCTTTTTCTATTTTATTTGAAAAAAATTAATGTCAGACAGATCGGTGAATTAATCGTATTTAAAATAAAGGAAGAGAGGTAGAGTGAAACAGGTCAGAAGCATTTTATAAGCATATTATTAGCATTTGTATACATTCTTTAAGTAAATTAAATGAACTAACTAACTAACTAAAAATACCAGCTGGTTGCAAACAGATGCTATTGCTTAAAATTTTGCTTCATAAAAAACTCCAAAAGATAAAATTATGTTACTACTGAAGCAAAAATTTTATTAGTATAGCAAATATTATCGTTAAAAGAGAAATGTAAAGCGTCGGATAAGAGTTGAAAATATTAAGTAAGAGTTGAAAATGTCGGGTAAAAGTTGAAGATGTTGGGTAAAAGCTGAAGAGAAGAGAGGATCGATGAAGGAATTAGAAAAATAGATAGAACTGAAACTGGAATGTTGCAAATATTATCGTAAAAAGAGAAATGCAAAGTGCCGGATAAGAGTTGAAAATATTAAATAAGAGTTGAAAATGTCGGGTAAAAGTTGAAGATGTTGGGTAAAAGCTGAAGAGAAGAGAGGATCGATGAAGGAATTAGAAAAATAGATAGAACTGAAACTGGAATGTTGCAAATATTATCGTAAAAAGAGAAATGCAAAGTGCCGGATAAGAGTTGAAAATATTAAATAAGAGTTGAAAATGTCGGGTAAAAGTTGAAGATGTTGGGTAAAAGCTGAAGAGAAGAGAGGATCGATGAAGGAATTAGAAAAATAGATAGAACTGAAACTGGAATGTTGCAAATATTATCGTAAAAAGAGAAATGCAAAGTGCCGGATAAGAGTTGAAAATATTAAATAAGAGTTGAAAATGTCGGGTAAAAGTTGAAGAGAAGAGAGGATCGATGAAGGAATTAGAAAAAATAGATAGAACTGAAACTGGAATATTTTTTTAATTCACTTTTGTAACATATTTTTATCCAGTTCCGTAAAATTAAGATTTAAACAGAAATGAAAAGCAACGATGAAAAAGAAGAAGAAGAAAGTTTTTATTTTCGAAATTCTATGCAAAAAAAAAGAATGGCTTTAATTTTTAGGGAAAAATTTTTAATGAAAAAACAAAGCCAATTTTTATATTAATTAAAAACACAATTAATTATAATAAAATTATTATCAATCAAAAATTAATTTGCTTCTTTCCATAATTAATAAATATTTCATTAATTATGCAAGAAAATTAATTCTATCGATGCTTTTTTTTTCCTTTGAAAATATTATGATTAAATTTGTTATTAATTTTTATTCGCATCTTTGAACAAATAAAATCAATTTTGACTTACGACATTATGATTACATTTATTTGTATACTTTGTGGGGAAGTTTGTAAGTTTGTTTGTCAATCAATCAACTGTATGTATCAGAGTGTCACATCAGAATTTCCTGAAAAATCAAATACTTTTTAAAGTATTTGTCCAGGAGTAAAAGCTTGTAGAAGAAAGAGAAGAAGAGGAAGCAGAAGAAGGATTATAAGGAAAAGTTAGTGCCATTGAAGATTTTCGGCGTACCACCCTCCTGAAACAAGACAAAGGTAGACAGATATTGGATAGTAAGATGAACATACAGGTGCTACCCCGGTACAATATATAAAGATGAGGAGAATGAAAAAAACTTTCTGATGAAATTCTTCAATCATCGAATAAGATAGATTTTGAAATTCAACTAATTTGTTGAAACATTCTCGGTGACAAAAAGCCAAGAAATGTCGAAATTTCTAAATAGCATTTTGCTAATTGCTTCATTGTTTCTTCCCGAAATTATTCATTCAGCTCAGGTATGTTTCATTTTTGTAATTTTCTTTTTATTACTTTGAAGATTTTAATTTGTATAATTAAATTTTATCTGTTAGTTAGAGAAAAGATAATGAGAGAAAGAGGAAAAGAATGAATAAGAAAGAGAAGTATATGAAAATATATGTAACCATAGATGTGATAGAATCAAATAAATAATACAAATTTATTTTCAGATCAAAAATTTGATTATTTCTTACTACATTTTCTTTTTGAGAATTATGATTATAGCTATTTGAATCTTTTAAGTTTTTCCTTAAAACTTTTAATAATTTTTTTTTTGAGTAAATAAACTCAACAGATATTGGCTTAAGCAACCTCAACTTACTGACCAAAATGATAAGTCATTAATTTTGATGATATTATAATCATTATAGCCAAAATTAATTTGATATTACACATACCTTTTTCTGTTGAAATAACTTACGTGAATTTATAATTGTTGCTAAAACTTTGCACATCCTTCAAAGTTTAACTATTATAACATTTGTAATTACTTTATGGTAATAATAAATAACGGTAACAATAGATATTAGCATATGCTTAAAATCATTATGTTCATATATTAAAAGTATATAATCTATTTTGCATTTTGTTTACTCTAAAGGGTAATGCAACAAAAACATGTTGTTGTTGTTGTTTGCATTAAAATTTATCAATAACTAATTCACAAATAGTTTTATGATCATTGATAATTGATTACACTTATCAATTTGTTAGATTAATAAAACATAAGATTTCAATTCATATATTATTTAACTTTCAAATAATCAATCAATTTTTCTACCTTTCATCATTAACCAATGTTAATGCATTAACTAATCAATTTATATTAAACTTTTTAAATTATAGTAAATATAATTTATTGAATATTTACTATATAATAGCTATATTTTATGCTAATTGTTCTTTCCTTTTTAGGAAATATTATTCGATTATAATAATTTTTTTTAATTAAATTATGATAAATTAATTAATTTATATCAAATGATATTTATCAAATTTTTTGTTTTGTTAAGCATTTCAAATTGTTTTTTCAAAAAGAACGAAAGCGAGGAAATTTATCGAAATCTTTAATCAAAATAAATGATATAAATTGTTATCACAAATAATTAGCGCTCTTAATTCTATTAATTATTAATTGCTTATTTTAGTTACCTCAAAAAATTTCCACCTTTCTTTTTCAATTTCTATCTATCCAATCTATCTATATTGAATTCTTCTTCACTTAACTAAATTTTTTTCATATTAAATAAAATTTCCAAATTTCTTGGATAAAATTGCTTAAATATCGAATAAGAATATTGCGATAGGCTAAAAAATTCATATGCAAAGATTTAGAAAAAGTTTACAATTTTTCTTAATTAATCATAAAACTTATGTTTTGAAATATTTCGCTAATTGTAAAAGAATAAGAGATGATTGGGAAGAAATGCAACAACGAATGATAGAAGTTGTTTAAACTAAGAAGGAAAAATAAAGAATACTGTAATTTTAAACGAATAATTCAAAACTTATATCACAGTTTTTTTATACGTACCGAATTCAAAATACATACCGAATTCGGAATATATGGTCGGATACATACCGAATGCGGAATATATGGTCGGATACGTACCGAATTCGGAATATATAATCGGAATAAAATTTTAGGAGAAGGAAGAATCAAAAATTTTTGCAATAGTTCTTCAAAAAAAAATCCCTTTAGTTAGAATCTGAAAAAAGAAAGAATATCATATGCGTCGTTAATTCTCTAATATTTTCATTTTAATTTCTCGGAATAATTCTGGTAATGATTTCATTTCTCTAGGCACAATCGCTTATCCGAGGAAAACGTTGCATATGTATTTCCATTGGTTGTGGTTGTTATCAACCATCTGGTTCCGGCTATCGTCAACCATTGCTACCGCAATATCGACAATCAATTTATCGGCAACAACCGAATGCAGCACCATGCGTTACAAATTGTTTCCAAGATTGTATGCGAAATCATCAAAGAGCTTGTCAACAATCATGTCAGAATTCATGGTTTGTTTAACAATATTTTTATCAAAGTTTCAGAAAAACTCAATTATTCGAATTATTGAATTAAATATATGATAACATCTTTCTCTTACATTATTTGCTAGGAAAAATTGATTATTTCTTTTGTATTTCTTTTAATAAGAATATAACGTAAAAATTTTTGCAAAATTATTTTTTATGTAATATACTATACGTTTTTCACGTACGTTAAACAAGTTTCTCTCTCAGTCTTGATTTATCACTTATTCTTACCTACGCATCAGTTGAGATTAAAATTTACAGCGGTATACAAACGGGCTATCAGCAGCCAAGAGTATATACACAAGCACCTTATCAGTATGAGCCATTAATCCATGAGGTAGCCAAGGGACAGCAAAGCGGAAGTGGAGCGTGTATAAATGTTTGCATGCCTAGCTGTGAATCGCAATGCATTCAAAAATCTACGCCAGTACCTGTAGTGCCACAACACAATAGTCCTATACCTGTGGTACAAAGCCAGGTAGGCTTATAATTGGCTTTTTCAATCAATTAAAAGATTAGTTGAAATTTATCATATGTTTTGAAATTTTCAAGAATTCAATTAAAATCTTTCAGACTCCTTTCTACTATCCATCGCAGCAAAATGAACCCGAGATACAGCAATATTCTAATAATGATAATATACTTTGTATTCATCTTTGCATGCCATCCTGTGAAAGTCAATGCATTGAAAGAACAACTCCTGCAGTTCCATCATATGCAGGACAAACGGAACAACCAAATGATATCTATTATCCGAAACCAACTCCGTATTCATCATTCACCCAACCTAATCAAACACCAATTGTTATCCGACCTCAGCATTATAGTGGTGTAGGAGGAACAATTTGCATACCCATTTGTATGCCATCATGTCAAACACATTGCACCGAAAATCAAGGTCAAAATGGTGGAGGAGAAGAATATATAAGTAGTAGCACCACTCATGAACTTATTGGGCCTACTCAAACTGATTTACAACCTCGTGAAATTTCAATTAGCTTACCACAATCGATTCAACAATCACCGGATTGTATGAATTTATGCCAAGAAATGTGTATGCAACAATGTGTTGGACAAAGTATAATTCTTTTATTATTTCTTTACCTTTTTTTTCATTTATATAAAATTAAAATTTAAATTTAAATTAGAAAAGAAGCGATTGAAATTTAAATCTCTCTAATTTAACTGAATGATAAAATGATAAGCATATTATACAATAGAAATTTGAACTTTTGATATCTTTTCAATCTTCATATTATGTTTCATTCATTATTATTAATTAATAAAATAAAACAAAGACTTCTTATCAAATATTACTTTTTCAGATCAAGAAGAAAACCAATGTCGACCATCTTGTTACTATACATGTCAGGAAAGTTGCGCTCATTCTCCAATTAATACCGGTACTGTAAATTCCTTTCAACAACGACAAATAGAATCAGAAATTTATGAAACAACAGCAACAACTTTAGATAATTCCATGAATTTCCCACTCCTTAAAACTTTCCTTCTTCGATCACCACCATATTATCGTCAAACTTCTTTATCTGAACCACAAGTTATCAATTGTCTATCTGGTTCAAGAAGTATTGGTCAATGTAAATGTCCATCTGGTTATGCTACATGCTCATCAACAAATTCTCGTAGTAGCCAACAGCAATGTTGCAGGAAACGAAGAAAGAAGGCTTAAATTTATTATTATGATAAAAATTTTCTTACAAATTTAGCATTTTTTCAGTTTATTTTCGGAAAATTGTTTTGAAGTCTTCTTTTATTTTTCCGTTGTGAAAAAATCATTAATATAATTAATATTCCCTATTGTTTTACATGCTTTAATGATACTCGTAAAGAAATTTTCAATCATTTATACTGCCTTATCTGAATGAAACATTCTTTCTTTTAATCTTTTGTTAAATTTTTCATTTTATGAAATAAAAATTTATTTGTTGAAAATTTGAATTCTCTTTTTAGCATAAAAGCAAAGATAAGCGTAATCCATGATGATAAATATCATGATCAGTGTGATAAATAAACGATAACTTTAATTTATCGTATGATAAAGTGAAGTGATCGTTTCAATGATACGTAAACATTTGATGATCCGTTCATTTGCAACAAGAAAAAATGCTTCATTTATGTTGCACAATTTTGATATCACACATAAATCATTCAAAACAAACAAAATTTTCATTTAGTAATATTAGAAGTGAAATTTGAATAATTTTATTCAGAGGATAGCCATTTGAATATTTTAATTTCAATGATTATTTCATTTCTTAATTTTTGAATATTTCATTTAATTTTCTCTTACCTTTCCTATCTAATTATTAACATTATTAACAGTGATTAGAATTAAATTTTTATCATTAGTTATCATATTATAAAACTATCAATTTTTTGAAATTTAAAATTGCTTTTAAAAAAAAAAGACAAAAACATTAGTGAGAGAATGTCGAGCAAAGAAGTTGGTTGTGCACGGAGTGGGATTCGAACCCACGCATCGATAACGATACCAGAACACCCATTTCGAAACGTATCACACTTTGAACTCGTGTGAAGCAGTGCATTGCTTGAGTCTGGCGCCTTAGACCACTCGGCCATCCGTGCAACGAATTTCATCACATGTTTTTTTACATCAAAGCATATTATCATTACCAATCAATGATTTAAAAAAATTATTCATTTGTTTCAATCGATAAATTTCATAGTCGCAAGGAAAGGTTAAAGGTCTCCTGCACAATTACCCAAAATTATTATTTATAAAATATCTTATTAATTTAAACAGAATTATAGAATGTATGTTGGTGGGTAAGATGGCTAGTGCTTCGGTTCAATGCTTAAGTAATTCAAAGTATGATACGATCTGATTAAATATTCGATACCATACTTTGGTTCGAATCCCACTCCATATTTCATATTTTAAAATTTTGAAATTAAATTTATTAGTAATTTAAATCATTGATAGCTTTGATAATATGTAGCAAATGGTTTGACAGTTTCTTCAAATTTTGCAAGAATATTAATTAAAGAAGGAAGCAATTAATTTAATAAAAAGCAATTTCTTCCTACTGTAAATTTATCACATTAACATTTTCCAAATGACAGCTTAATGCAGGAAAACATCTGATTTCAACTCTATCCAACATCTTAATATCGTATGATCGGATCAAATACAATTACGACGATCGGTTGTTGAATTGAATGAGCGGAATTAAAATATATTTGTTGGCGTTATAAAAATGGAAAATGAATCATCATGGCTATAGCTATATTACAATAAAGTACAAAAACAATCATTTCGATAAAATTCAATTTTGACTTTCAAGTTTTATAAATTCTACTATTCCTCTTCTAACTCCTACTTCACATCTCCTTGAATTTATTTCTTATCATTTCTATTATCATTCGCCTCTTATTCATATCACTATAATCATTTCTTTCTTATATCATCCCTTCTCATTTTCATCGTTTCACTTTTCCTATCATTCTTAGCAGTTAACATTACAATTATCATTATCATTCACATTTATCGTTAACACTACAATTATTAACAGTACAACTATAATTAATTAACACTTATCATCACTTTTATTAATCTCTAATTCGTTTTTTTTTAATTTTTTTCTTTTCTTCCATTTCTTTCTGCTTCTTTTTTGCTGCCTTTTTTTCTTCCTTTTTCTTTTCACGTCGTTGTACGTAACCAATAATCATATTGGTTATCGGTACGTGTAACATTGTCAAACCAAATGATACGATCATTCCGATGACAAAGAAGATGACAAATGGTGTAATGTAATTTCCAACACCTTTCTACAAATTTCATAAAGTTAAATTTAAGATTTAGAAAATGAAAAAATTAAATAACCTTTTGAGAGAAGAGAAAAGTTACAGCTCATAACATCTCGTGTTCTGAATTCAACGAATTATGAATAATTATTAAATTTGGAAGAACCGGATATGAAAATAATCAAAATGCTACTACTAACTAACTAACATATGCATATACGACACCTCGTGGTTCAAGAATGCTTGACATCTCTTTCCGATGTTGAAATCATCCGCTCAACACAATGATTTGGCAAAACAATGAATTGTATTGTGAAAATTGTAAATTTTATGAATTTCAAAAATAATTTGAATTAATTATTTTTTCTTTTAGAAACGACTTATTAATTTCAATGGGAAAAAAGGAAAGCTAGATTTATTCATATTTATGCAGATTGAAAAGAATACATTTTAATGCGAAAGTATTTTATAATTTCTAAAAGACAATAAATATTATGGCTTGCTTATTTTGTTTAATATAAATAAGGCTTACTATTACTGATCAACAATTTTGATTTAAATCAAAAATTGAAAGTAAAAGTTTATTAAATTAAATTGAAATGTATGAGATGTATATTTCATAAAAGCTGCTCCAGGTATTCATCTTTGCAGTAAGTCTTAATTTAATACCTGTTATGATTATGATTATGCTTGAATAATAAGGATAATAATAATGACAGCAGTGCCTGAGCAAAAGAAAAAAAGAACTTGTAAAAATACAACTTATCAACAAATACTAATTAACTTTCATAATTATAGTATTATTTGAAATTTCAAATTCTACGAAATATTTTTCCAAATATAAAAATTTTTGACTATTATATATAACTTATTATAAAAGAATAGTTAAAATTAAACTTTAGTATGGATAGTTTCATATCCGTTGTTAATAAGTATTTGCGACATTAAGCTCCAATACAACAATTTCTATGCAACATTTCATTCATCACTGCCGGGTAATGAAATCTTTTATATTATAACAGAAAGTTTAAAACAAAGATTTCGTTTGGAGAGATTAATCAATCACAATTTTTGATAATTAATTCGAATGACTTCATAATTAGCCAAGATGACCACTGTTATTCATATATTTGGTCAACAACAGTAGTAGTCATAGCAGTAGTGGTAGTATTATTATTAGTAGTAGTAATACAAACACTAGATCAAATGAAAAAGTTTGGAATATCACAAACCGTTTTTGTGTATGTGTCTTTTTTCAATAGCACATTGTATAAGTGAAGAAAAGACTTGAAAATTCATATTTAGAGTATCTTTAATATTCAATTAATGAATATGATCTTTTTAAGATTAGTTCATCTTCGATCTGTTTACCTTAAAATCTACTTGTACTTCATAATCAATCGATAAATTCTTATTTTTGTTTCTCTTTTTCTTCAATCTTGCAATTTTACAATTAAATGCTAACATTGTTTTAATTCAAATTGTAATTGCAGAAATCTTGTCATATTTATAACTGAAAATTTTATTAAATTATCGATTATATATTACAAACATATCGCAGAAATAGATTCGTAATAATAAAAATTCGATAATTAAAAAAAAATTAACAAATTAAATACCTGAAAACTTGATTAAATGCATCAATAATGAGTGTCAGTAATAATTTCACTTCGATTATTGGGATTTGTAGAAATTGAAATATGAGTATCTTTTTGTTTTAATATTTCAACTGAACCATATAATTTTTGACTAATTTGATCAATAATTGGTGCAGTTATAGATAAAATAATGGGTAATAAAAGAAGAGCATGAAAGACACCAATAATAATTACTAAAAAGATTGTTTTAAAAAATACAAGTGTCATGTAGGAATTGATGAATGCAAGAATTGCAGCGCCAAATATCGTCGACATGCTACCATATATAACTGTAATAATATTGTAACTCAATTACACTCAATTAATAATTATTTCTCTAAAATTCAATTAATTATTATTTCTCTAAAATTAGAATAATCATAGAGAAAAATGATTAAATTAAATTATTGTAAAAATTTTCATTCCTTCAATTTTCATTAAGACAATTGAGATTTAAGTTTTTGTAGAAAAAGATTAAAGTATTGTAAAAATTTATGAACAAGATATCGATTAAATAAAATTAAAATATAAATTAATATTTATAGTACGACATTATTGTATGGCAGACAATTCAAATAGGAATTTTTTTGCCACAAATAATTTAACTAAAATACTCAAATATCAAAAAGATTATGAGATCAGATGGAAGCAAAGAAAGCAATCTTCGTATTAATTAAAATTTTGTAATTAATTCGAGTGTTTAATGATGTTTTTCAATCGTTTCAAAAACTAAATAATATTGAGTTATTCGTTCTAAAAATTTTCGTTATTTCTATACCTTAGCAAGCAAATTGGTACGATCTAACAATGTCAGGAGAATTTTGATATCACAAAACTAAATTAACAATCCTCAAAGCTTATTTAATTCATATCTTCCTTATATGCAAAAATTATCTAATAATATAATAACAAATGTGGAATATAGAATTTAGATATTCACTAACATTTCATATAATTTAAGATTAACCAATGAATTGGTTAACTTTTGAAATTGAAATATCAGATGAATTTTACATATGAAAATGATTAATTAAACAACCCAAAAAAAAAGATTAATTAAACAAAAGTCAATTAAATTAAATTTTTCTATCAGAAATAAGAATTGTTAAAATTTAAGCTTATAAAGTAGTATATTGTTTTCAGTGAATTATTCATATAATTGCAACTTACTTGGACATGCCAATTTTTCCATTGCTTCAATACAACGTTCAGTGGGTGTAAGATTGCTTGGATTACTTATAAAACTATATGTGATATGAGCACAATATTCAATGGAAAAGCCAATTGCCATTATCATAGTTATCATTGATATCGGATCTAACTTAACATTCCATAGTGCTAAGAAACCAATCACACCTATAAATTCCAAACTCTTTCATCTTTTAATTTTTTATTGCTTATTTACTATTCGAAGGTTACGTCTTGTAAGCTGTTACAGTTGCGAAACAATATCTATTAAAATAGATTATTGATTAATTTTATTTGAAACTTCATGCACCGAGAATCTCTTGAATATTCCTTTTTTTTTTGGAGTAAATTGATTAGAGCTGGTAAGAAGGATTCGCCTACAAATTTATCTAATTCCGATTATTTCTTTCCTATAATTTATTAATAGTACAGTATTTAATGAGATTATTTAATTATAATTTTACATATAGGAATATATGCTTTATAAATGAGTTCCATAAAACTAAGGTTAACTTACTAATTCTTCAATAATCAATATGTATGTTTATTAGCTTGCAATAAAATACTGTACATAGTAATAGGTAAATAAAAATAACTATGAAATATTAGATGTAATAGTAATTAAGATAAGATAAGTAAATAATTCCATTAAATAAATTACTATATAATAATAAGTAAAACATTTGTTTAATTCAATTGCTTAATAAATAAGACAATTTAAAATGAGGTAAATGTGTCAATAAAGACTTTACCAATATCCATTGTTATAATAGCAATAAATATCCAAAATGTGCATATTGGATTAGGAATAAATATTAATGCAATAATAACCAATATAACAATCGCAATACTATCATTTAATAACATATTTGGTAAAATAATATTTAGCTGCAAATTTCTTTTTAAAAATAAGCAACGATTTTTCAGTTTTTCCTTTCTGATCTAATCAAAGTTAACATTTCGATTAAAATTTATCGCAAATTTTTAGGCGAAAAATGAAAACAAAAATAAAAGTAGAAACTATTTAATTGAAGTGGCAAATCAGCGGTCAAAGGTTATAATAAAAACAATCAAATGAAATTATTATATAAAGAATAATAAACAAAATTAGTTAATCTAAAAAGTTTTTCTTAATGAAAAATTTCCAAAAAAAAGAAAATTATTCAAACCTGATCAGCAATCATTCGGCTATATTCATACGTATAAATTTCCATATCCCAATATTTTGCAGCAATTGCTCGTAGAGCATGAGATTCCATTACTAAATCACTTGGATTATTAAGTGCTGATAATCCGATACGAAATCGAAATGATTTCATTGTTAAATTTTGCAGATCATCTTCATTTTCCCAAACAAAATCTTGTGCCCTGAAATATTCTACATTTTGGAAGAATACTATATCCTAATAAAGATTACTTTATATAAAAATCAGCGTAAAAGAATATGGCAATACATAAGAAATAGAAGAAATAAAGTTCAAGTCATTAAAATTTCAAAAATTACGAACAAGAAAAGCTGAAAATTATTTACACCAAATTATAAAATAAATTAAATTTCTATAACTACAATTGTTTTTTGTGCTAATAGTTATGGACATGAAACCAAAGAAAAACTAAATGATCAGAAAGGTTAAGGTTCAAATTATCAACAAAGAACGAACCCAGCATAGCACAAATAGCAGGCAGATTTTTTTAAAAAAAAAGATATTTGCTAATTAAACTGCTAATTTATCAATGTAAAAAAGAAAAGAAGGAAAAGGATCTAGCATAACTTTGATTTACTTACCACAATTTGTAAAATGCAAAAAGTCGTGACCACTGATAAACCCCCTCAACCCATGATTGATGATCATTCTGCAGGTATGCACCTGTTATATTTGCATACTTCTGATATTCCCGAGTCCAGACTTGCGTCGCTTTAGGACCAATTCCGAAAATCATATGCTCGAAATCATGAACCATTTGCTCCACCCGTTCACGATTTATTGGTTTTGTCATATCGGGCGCTTTTACGATAGCTACATCAATCTGAGAAACAAATCCAATAAACTAGCATTAAATCATTACAGAAATACAGGTTATTTTCATTAGTAAATTATTCAACTTTTAATTTAAGACATGCAAAAAGTCAACGATAAATGTGAAGCCATATCAAATCTACTGGAAATTTTAGTATTTAGCTTTCGACTAGAAATCTAAAAATTTGATAACCTTATTTTCCTCTTCATTTCTACATCAACACTGAAATTATCACTGCTATTACTTTTCCAATTGCTAATATCGTTTAATTATAGTTAATTTAAGCTGGAAGTGTTTAGTACCTGATCACCACCATGAAATAATTCAAGCTCAATAGCTATTGTTTGTACAACAGGATCCGTTTCAATCAGTAATTTATCATAGTCTAAACCTTGCTCCATACAAATAATACCGTATATTGCTAGCTGAAATTTCAAATTCCGATTAAACTTTAAAATTTTCATGAAATCCGTTTTTCCGTTTACAGAAAATAAAAAGGAAGAAATAAAAATTCTTACGATAAGATAAACGATGACTAAGATCAGAATGATGCATTTAGTTCGATTATCCAACAACATTGGAACATATATATTCCTGTTAATATAATTTCTGGGAAAAATTGAATCAGATTTGAAATTTTATAAGTTTTTGAGTAAAAATAAAATATTAGAAAAGTTAAATATGTAATATTTATTGCATTAATCATACAATCAATATAATCTTAAAAAATTTTAATACTTTTTTTCTTTTGTTTTAAATTATAATTTTATAATTTGCAATAAAATTAAAGCAAACCGAAAAAATAATTTCATCCCATTGGTAGATGATTTTTTCGATACTTTCATCTTATCCGATAGCATTTCAATGTTAACATTACCACTATGATATGATTTGTGATTATCACTGGCGAATTTATCCTTGCATATGTTATCGTAACATTTTGCGTCTTCTAACTTTTCTACCAAAAAGCAAATTGCATATTCGTTATTTCATTCATCATATATTCATATTCACAATCAGACAAACTTATACTTCCCACCAAGATAACGAATATGATGATCTTATCAAGATATCAATTCAATGATAATTAATATTTACATATGATATAATCAAAAGACAACGAAATAATTTTTGTTTTAAATAAATTTTCTTCGGTATAATAATAAGTGTTTGAAGAGAAGTAAAAAATAAACAAAATTTTCAACAAAGAAATTTGAATAAATAATATGATAAGTTAAATTCTAATATAAATTTCTTTGATTCAAATTAAATGTTTATTTTATATTTCGTCTTACTAAAGAAAATTTCAAAAATTAAAACAATTACTTGTCTCATATTCAACACATTTCCTTCCACTTTTATTTGCATTTTCAGCACAATTCCAAACTTTTCCTCCATATCCATCCATTTTATTATCATCAATATGATCGGAAGTTTTCAAACATGGTATGCAACCATTCCGTCCAGCTAATTCCATTTTACCACTAATTACCATCATCGCAGCAAAAAAAGTAAGCTTAATAAGTGGATTAATGAGTTGCTTTAATTTTATCGTTTCATTTCTTATCTTGCCGCTTTTTTTAAATTAAATTAAACTCCAACAAAATAAAATTGAACCATTGTTATTTTTGGCCATTCATCAGTGACTCATTAATTGCAATCTTCATCTGTATCTTACTTTAATACAACTAAGCCTTAAATTCTCTTTCATTGCCAGATAAAAATTTCGATGAAATCTATTCGCTTCAACTAATTAACGTTAGCTTAAAATTAGATCAAATTAGAAATGAAAAATTCAAGCATTTAAGTTCAAAATGAGATATAACAATTAAAAAAGCTTAAACAAAAAGAACTTTGTAATTTATGCAAAAACTGAAAGAAATTGATAACCTGATAAAGAAATGTAAAAAACATGCATGCAGAAGTCATTGCACAAAATCCACGTACAGCAATAATATCCGTAAAACAACCAATGGCAAATGATAAGACATCCGTAAAACTGGTAATAAATATGGCAACAGCTGATTCCGATAGCGTATTTACCATGCGAGCTTTTAGGGTAACATAATCAGTTCCTTAACATAATATCAATCATAAATTGTTTCTATCTATAATATTATTTGAGATTACAAAATTAAAGTAAGACAAAAACGAAAAAGTGGAAATTTCTTACTTCAAAATATATGATAATCTTAACAAAAAGGATATGTATCAAAATTAAAGGCTGTCAAAAATTGAATCGAAAATCGATATTTTATAGAATTTAATATAAAACTGAACTTTGACATTTGAAAGGAAAATTGAATAGTTTGAAGATTTGAGAAAATGTTTTAAAAAAATAGGGATTTTTGTTGAAATAAACAAATTACCAGGAAAACTTTTTTCAGCATCGTGCCATGCTCCTACCATAATGAACATATCATCAACTCCAATAGCTTCAAATTGAATTATTTGTTATGAAAAATTCATAAAATATAATTTTAATAACCAATTATAGCAATACCAATTATAATATACTATTTCATACAGCTCATTTGATTTATAATATAATTTTTTTAATCAACATAATTGCTGCTGTTATTAGATATGCATTATTAAATGTAATTGATGAAATTTCAATAATATATTCAAATTTCAAAACAGCTCAAATATTCTATTTTATGTTAATTGTGGAAATATAAATATATCATTGGACAAGCACTTCCGAAAAGAAGCTTACTGCATATGTAATATAATCATCTGACTATAATCTTCGTGGTAATATGCAATAGATTTGGGTTTGTATTTGAAGTCTTTGACACTTCTATATGTGATTGGATTTTTCCAACTATTCTTGACATTATGGCCTTAATATTATCGAACTCAAATCAATCTTGGAGGGTTTTTATGTAAAAGATACTTTCATCCTAATATGTCTTCAATTTTAATTAGGCCTTGGTAAGTCATTACAAATTTCAATTAGGCCTCGTCAATAAGCAATAAAATTAAGCCTTACAAAGAACGAGGAATGGAGCTATAAGGGTTATTTCAGCGAAAAACATTCCAAACCATAATAGCAAACCAATACCGCTTATGATTGCTAATGTTGATGAAAACACGCCGCAAAGCGCAAGCAATGGCTTTGATCGAAGCCAATCAATTCGAACTGAAATGAAGTGTGCTCGATGATTTCAGGATTAATTCATAAATATATTCTTATACTGGAATGCATGTGATAAACTGATAGAGTAAATGGCATTGAATTGATTCAACTCTTTCAGAATGCCTTTTTCTCACTTTACATCATATATCCAGTATTCCGGATATTCTTATAGAAAGCATTACTTCTCTTCCTTATATGACAAAGAAACCTACTGAAATTCATTCCTTTATCATTGCAAAATTTCCATTCCATCGAATTGAATGTGCTGAAGAAGATCAACACAATAATTGTAACCACAAAATAAGGCTTCAATCGATTCGCATTACGTGTTAAGCCTTGATCAATTGTCCGTGAATGCTGAATGTGAATCTGAAATGAATGTAAACCGGAATACGGAATTCATTTTTTTTCCAATAAATTATTGGCAATAATATATGTACAGAAATCAAAAATGTTATTTATCACTTATCTAACTAAATACAAATTTTGTTTCTTATTGATCAAAAATGAAACGATCATAAATTTATTTAAAATCATATCAGGTAAATTGTTTAAGAAATAAAAATTGAAACTATTTTTACTTAAATTAAATTTTTTTTTAAATAAAAAACTCAAACATTCGGTAAGATTGCGTAAAATTATTTGCAAAATTAATTTAAATTTTAATTTTAAAATCCAAATAATATTTTTGAATTTAAATTTTAAAAAATCCAAATAATATTTTTACAATACAATTGCTAGAGAAATAGTAGAAGCTTCAAGTAGAAGTAATAATTTACTTCAGTCAACGAATTGTTGGAAAAATTTTCTGTTATAAACTTCGCTGCAGCATCCTCCCAAGCAATAGCCATTTCATTAATTTGTGGATGATCGAAACGTAAAAAGTACCACAAACGCATACCTTCCACTGACTGCAATTCTTATTTCAATTATTTTATTACCTTTCAAAAATTTTGGAAAGTAATTTTTATTTTTGGAACAAGTTTAAAAAAAAAAGTGATGTACAAATGAAATACAATTGGTGGCAGCTCGATGATCTCGTGGTGTAGCGGTTATCACATCTGTCTAACACACAGAAGGCCGGCGGTTCGATTCCGCCCGAGATCAATAATTCCAGCCGACCTTTTTCTTGTACGGTACATTTTACAATAATTCGCTGGTAGCATTAAAACTGCCGTCAAATAAAATAATTATTTGCTCAGCAAATAGAAAGTATCAAAAACTTCACATTCAATTTCTTCCCTTGTCAATAACAATCTGTCAATAGTAATCCATCCACTAAGGCCGTATTAATTGTCAATCATTTCGTTTTTAGTAGATCGAAAATTTAATTTATCTACTCGCTCTTTCTCTTCACCCTTCATTTTCTCTAATCCTCTCCAATTAATCATCTTCTTCTCTAGCTCCCTTTCTTTCCCCTCTTCGACTCATTCGTTGCCTGCTAATGCATCTTCGTTTTTCCGTCTCTCTATCTCATTTCTCCTCTCACGATTCTCACCATTCTCAGATTCTCATCTTCTTATTCGCTTCCAACCATATTTCCCTTTTTTGAAATTTGAAAAACTAAAAAAGAAGGACAGCAAAATGTCACACAGCCCTCTGCGGGACTCGAACCCGCGACCCTCAGATTAAAAGTCTGATGCTCTACCGACTGAGCTAAGAAGGCCCCGGAAGTATAGTCTTCACTTAAACTTCTGATAAATAGAATTTTTTTATCAGCAATGTTATAAAGTACGTTAAACAGTTGCTTAATTACTATTTATGATTGCCATCACTGATAATTATGATAACTAAAAGTGATTGTGGTAGTAATCTATAGTGGTAATGGTAATAGATGGGAAACTAATACTTGCGGTGATAATGGTTGTTAAAGAATAATCGACAAAGTAAAGATGACATTTACTGTAACAGATATGAACAACAGATCCGATGATGTGATAAGATTGTGCAAGTTATAATAGAATAATTAATTGATAGTATTAAAACAAATTAAATGATATTAATTCCCTAACTATGATATTAATTCCCTAACTATCCTTTCTCAAATTATTTTTGTGGCAAAATAATCAAACAGTCTTAAACTAATTTCATTATTAATTAAGATTTTAAATTTTCGAACTATCAAAATTCTAAAATTTATTGCTAATTAAACTTTTAAAAAATTTTCTTTTATTTTAAATTATTTATTTTTCATCAATTTTTCATTAATTGAATATTTCACAAATTTACCTTGATTATACCATTTTCATCAACTCGTACACCACCAATATTATAAGCTAAATACACCGGTGTTCCATTAGTATTAGCACGAGGATATGTAATACTAATACCATGCTTTTCTAATTCATAACGATTTTGAAGCAATTTAATCAAACTTGTTTGACGATAACATTCACCGTACCAATTCAAACATAAATCCTTAAAATTTTACAGTCGTAATTTCAACAAATTTTAACAACTTATACCAAACTCATTTAAATTTTAAAAAATAACAAAATTTTACGAAAATTTTCGTCTTTGTTGCACAATAAATATTCAATAAGAAATACCTGAAAATATATTTTACTACCAAATTTTGCTGTAACATTATTATGAAGCCATTCATCTTTCATTGTGAATGAAACATTTTCCGCAATACTTCTTTCCAACAATTCAATTTCATTCAAATATGAATCATTGAGAATATTTGGAAATGTACCATTAGGATATTTACGCCCATGTACAACAACGTACAAATAACGATTCCATTCAAATGTTCTCTCAGGTAAAAATTCATTAATACGTATAGGCCATAACTGCAAATATTTTATTTTATTAAAATATTCTTTTTTTTAGAAAGCTAAAAATAACAGTACTAGATAATAAAATTATGAAAAACTTGTTCGTAAAATTTTCGATTATTACGCTATCATTATAATTTTTTAATTTATTAGATTTCTACAACGATTGCAGTTCGGCTACAGTAATGCTTCTATATCGTATACCTACCATATGATGATAACTTGAATGTGCAAGATAGTAGAAATTTAGTCAATTTCTTAGATAAAGTATAAAATTTTCATTATTACTTTTTCAATTTTTTAACTAACTTCTCTCATAATTCTTTCTTCCTTCCAGCCTGGTGCCGATGTTGGCGTATATAATTTTCGAGCATTGAGTAAAGTGAGTTCATTAATCCAAATGAATCCAATTCCGAGAATACCCGTAAGTAAAATTGGAACGATAATAAATATAGGACAATAATCAACAAGATAATTACTTGTATACCAAGCAAATAGCTTTGCAAGCTTTTTGTCCAATGTTGCCAAATAGTATCGCATCAAAAGTGGAACATTGTTTTGAAATGAGTATCTTGTAATGATGTCATATTTTGATTATTAGTTACGTATATCTTTTCGTCAATATTTAACACTGTGATACTGATACGATTGCAATATAATCTTCCGGTAAAATCCGTAATGAACAATGTCGGATACGAAAAAAGACCGGATGAAAAATTAAATATATTTGGATACAAAAAAATACACCGAAAGGTGTCACCTTTCAATGCATTATCGTATTTCACTTGAATTTTATTGAAAATAATGAGGACAGAAAAGTATCGTAAAAGTTTATACTGTATTTATCATATCATTCATATCTTTATCATTGATACTAATTAAATTGATAGTAATTAAAAGAGTAATTAAATTAATTTCATCATTAATATATAAATGAGGAAATATTTCACATTTCATTTCAATTATTAATGAAAGCAACGATTAAAAAAAAAAAATTGCAAAACAATTGGATAAATTAAAAACATTTTTAAAATTATCAATTATTATTTGAAATGAAAATATGCATAATCGAAATTATAAATTAATGAAATTAATTTAATTACTCATTTATATAATTAATTATATTAGTTAGGTAAACAACTTTGAATAAACGAATATATTGCAACAACAATAACAACAATAACAATAACAATAATGTAAAGTTATTCTGGTTGAATGCTTTGATTTCAGTTTATTGCCTCAATGAAAAATACATTGTATTGATAGAGGGAGAGGGGGAGAGAGATAGAGAGAGAGAGAGAGAAGGAGGGAGAGGAAAAGATTTTAGAAAGTAAAAGGGAAAAAATGAAAAAAGCGGAGAAAATAATTATCACTATCTATTATCTCTTCCATTAATGATAAATTCAGGTTATGACCTGTTATTTATTTTTTTAATAGCACTATGCGCCATTATAGAATGTAATAATAATAATTGATTGTGCCACCTATTTCCTTTTTAATTTTTTTTCATTTTTAAATAACCAAATTATATTTATCGAATTCATTCATAATAATACCTGAATTTATCATTAATGGAAGAGATAATTTTAGAGATAAACAATGCTTAAGTATGATTTTATCGATTGAATTTTTGCTGCATTTCTTTTACAGAAACATTTCAAATATTTCGAATTTTGTAGAAATTTCAAAACGCTATAGTGATAATAGCATTTATTATTCATTTATAACTTTTATCAGTACTATCACTCCTTATCACAATAGATTTTGAAAATATAAATATCACAAAAGAAGTTTTCATATCGTGAAATACAATCAATTTAATATTGTATTAAAAGGAGGAAAAATATTGTGCGATAATAACGGGCTGCTAAATTCAACAAAATGATTAATAGAAAACGGATTCCAATTGCAAAATATGGGGGTGTTATATTTATTGATTCCGGATTGTTTCAACCGAATAAACGTACTTTCGAGAATTCCCGAAATATTTTTAACATTCCAGTGAATGAGGAAACCTAATTCCACCTCTCAGTCGACATGGGGGATTAGCTCAGTGGTAGAGCGCTCGCTTTGCATGCGAGAGGGCGAGGGTTCGATCCCCTCATCCTCCAGATAACTTTTGGTAATGCTTACTAGGAATAGAAGTGACTGTGTGGGTGTGGTGGGATCAATGATTTCTTTAAATGTAGAGCTTTCCCTAAATTGCCTGCATTTATTACATATAACGAAAGGTCTGCATTTAACAAAATTGCGAATTTCTTTCTTGCTGATGAGAAAGCGGAAACATGTCAATTATTCAAGCACATCGTATACAATATTTAAAAAATTCACAATGTCTACCGCCCGCTAAAATCAATGCTGCTGACTATTTTTTGCGACAGAGATCATCAAACATAGATAATATAACGACAAATCATCGAATATTGACGCTAACTGACACCATCATTAACTGTGATTATTGTCAAAGATGCATCATCCCCCGGATATGACAGAGCAGACAATCACCAGACGATGCTATCACAGCCAAATTTCCACAATATTTCGACAATACAAGGAAACAATTCATTAATGGAACATGTCGCCTTGTTCTGCCACTGAATGTATCGGTATGGATAAAAAATTTACAGGTAATAGTCACGTCTTTATCATGAATAGTTTCATTTACAATGATTTTTAGTCAAGTAAAACAAGTGATTTGCTGTATTCAGTGCTATAATAATGATATTTCTGCTAGGTAACATAATCGTCTACAGTAAGCTGGTAAGCTGAGTTTTTGAACAGCTGTTCTGAGATAATAAATTAAATACACAGATATATTGGATAAAAAGAAATTCGAATCTTCTACCATCCAGAAAATGACCATTCGACTGTCTCAGATAATTTGATACGGAAAATAAGCACAAACCCCGAATTCAGGAGATCAATTCTAAGTGTGAAAGTGAACAGGAGATATGGAAAAACTGAACTTCACCTAAATATTTTTAGCGTACTTCGATAAGTCCAAAGGTCATTGAGCAAAGGATGAAGGCGCACACAAGGAAAAAGAAATTTAAAAAAATAAACTTATCAAAATGACAAAATGTTCAATATCAAAAAATGGAAATGGATACCGCTATTGGCATTACTTCACACAATAAATACTACTCAATTCATGGGGTGCTGAACACACCGACACCCAACTTTATTTAAATGCAGCGCAGATCAAAAACATCGTCACTAATTATTATCATGAGCGAAATCTGATTTTGATTTCTGCGGCTTAATACAGGAAGGTATGGTACCCCAAATTAGTTATTTCTTCATCAAAGCGTAATTAAGCAACACCCTTTAGATGATAAAAAAGGAAAAGAAGTAAATCACTATTTCTGGCATTGAAACATTGTATTTTGTTCTGCAAAAGAAATATCCAGCTTATTTCAGAATGGGAAACCATGATAGGAGTTTAAAGGACGGACATAAAGCCAGATATGGACAAGATGAAATTCATGTACATAAAAAACTCCTTAACCATTAGCTTCCTACGGTTTTCTTCGAATTTTTCAAAGCGCTTTCAATAACTTGCCCCAAACAACGTCCAAATTCTTTCAAAATTGCTTTTTCTATTTCTACTTGAGTTGCCTGCCCGCTAGATTCAATTTCTTCTGCTTGTGCTACCAAGCATAGCGTTGCTGCTTCTACCACTTCATCTGTCATATAAAACCAAGGTAACCTATAATCGAGAACAGCATTATTGCAAAAGATCTTTGATAAATATGAAGGAAAAAATGCTACACGGCAATGTTTCCCAATCTGTTTGATAAAAAAACCGTTTGACACCATAAATTTGGAGCATTCTTTCAAATTTTTCTCATAAAATTTAAAGTAAAAACTAAATTTCTAGTGACGCATGGTTTCATTATATGCGTAATATAAATTTTTCTGTCATTAGAACTTGGAACCAAAAGGAGCAAATGTCAAAGATCAACTTCCTTTATCACCCAATATACACTTACGTTTTGGGATCACTCGGCTCTTGGACTTCATCGTCGCTATCCTCATCGCTATACAACGTCGTTTTATGAAAATCTGCATTACCTATAGTAGCAGCAGCACGAATATCGGTTAATGCCGTAGCTGATTTCGTATTTGCCAAACGTGTTGCCCGGTCCGATTCGGTGTTTCGACAACATATACATTTACATCGATCAGTGCAAGGCACTTTCGCCTAAAGTTGAAGCTTTCAAAATCATTTCTATAGAAAAGAAACAGACAAAACAGTCTACAATTCATCAACAGTGTTCAAAATGGACAGATATAGAATGATGAAGTGTGTGTTAATTTTTGTAATACTAATAACTCACTCCTGGTATTCTTAATAATGGTTTGGACAGTCATCTGTGGAAAATGTTATAAAGGATCTGAAAGCTCTATAAAAAAGTTATTGCTTCTTCTAAATATACAATTTTAAAAAATAAAAAACCTCTCTGTTAGCAGTTCAATCTCATTTTAACGTCCATTTTAACAAAATTACTTGAATATAACTCTATGAGTGATATAAACTTACTTCATAACATTCGCAGTAATTCTTCAAACAATTCGATTTCTTGCAATGACATCCTTTTTGGTGCAACCGTTCTGGTTCCACTTGTCTGTTGGTAGCAACACCTGAACAAAATATTGTGCCCGTTAAGCAACAAATTTTGTCGAAACCCAGCTTAATTTGTTAGAAAAAAAGAGAATGAAAAAGCCATACAGACTATATTTCATTACTCGCTGCTGAATTTCACTGTCCCTTTACAAAATTTATTCGGCCAGCCACAATATACTATTCGATATGGGATGCTGGATATTTGTAATCTTGAAAGTACTTTATGATCAAATTAGCAATCAACCGTCCCGTCAATCTGCACCTGAATTAGTGATTTCTAATCGAGTTTTTATAATTACTAGAATGCTACCGATTTTTGGCTTGAATGCATTCGGATTGCGTTCCAGTGATAACCTAATAGCGCGCGTCCTCTCAATTTCATATTCAATTGTATTTTTGCAGTCTTTGCAATCACAATCATTGCAAAATTCCCCATTTGCAAAACAATCACAATATAATTTCAAACACATTGAACGTGTGCAATGACATGGTTTTTTTGAACCAAGAGGTCGCCTGGAAGTAAAACGCTTGGAAGTATGAGGAATCAATTTATGGGATCTTAAAAAGCGTTTAAATTAATATAAAAATAAAGACGGTGCCCATTAATGCTATTCTGCTATTTTGATTCATATCAACCTAGAATTTCTTCAATATCGTAGCTGATACCATGTAAAAACTGCTAATATGTAAAATGCAACACCTCAAACTACGATTTCACTAGTTACTAACAATTGATACCATTAACAAATAAAATTATAAACTCGAAAAATTCAACAAGTTAAATCAGAAACGATTCAAGGAACTTTACATTCAAACTCTGATTTCACTAGTTATATGGAATAGAGGAATCGAAAGTTATCATTAGCAATAAAATGGAATACGCAAAAAGAAATCACTTCTTTGGAGCTAATTTAGCTGCCAACATTGGAGTGAATACCCTGTTACGCTGAACACTAGCCTGAGCAGCCCGATAAGCTAAAGGCTGACTAAGGGGCCCAGTTTGTAGAGGTTTTGATTTAGATGACACTTCACGTCTTCGCCAATTTGATTCTGTTTTCTGAAAATATTGGATGCATATATTTAGAGGTTTCTTGATATCTTCACTCAAAAATAAATCAGGAAATTAATACTTTGTAGAAGCTTGAAAATTAAAGTCTGAAGATATGAAAATTTCCCTTTAAATAAATTTTAATTCTACAAAATAATTGCTCATTAATTATATATTTACCGAACCCTCAAATAAAGCCATCACAATCATGAAACTTACGTCCTGGTCCATTACTCCACGATTCGTCTCACTAAGTGTCCGCACTGGTGTGGTGGTGGTTGAACCACCTGATCGATCAATACGATATATCTGAAAGAAAAAATCTTGAACTAATCGAAGAGCTGCACAATTCCTGTTTTAATTTGATAGTTAACATCTTGGCTTCAATATAGAATTCCTTTTAATTCATTCTAAATTATAATTTAAGCACGATTTGTTACTTACGAGCTATAAAAATGATCGGATTTGAAAGTATGTGCAATAGAAGTAAAAAAAGAGGAGTAATATATGAATATCCAAATCCAGTACGAACGTTCTGCTGTTTCTAGTAAAACATTTTTGCTGGATTCGGTTATACATTAAATTATACAAATGGTACAACGAATTTTGTTAAAAGTCTGAAGAATTCTACCCTATTTCCTCGAACGGCAAAAACATGTGCCGGAATAACACGTCCTGTCTGAATCTGTCCCACTTCGGAACCGCACAACCGGCTATCGCTTGGTTCTCCAATACTTACCTGAAATTTTGAAGAAAAAATCAAAGCCCAGTTTACCCAGTAAGATACAATTTCATCTAATTCATGGGAATATGAACATCTCAAATTTCAATTTTAGAACTTACACCCTTACGTAAATTTCGACAGATATCATAAAGTCCAATCTCAGTACAAAAACCGACATTAAAAAATCTCATCTGATATGTAAAATCTCAACCATAATTCCTTTACAAGCCATTACAAATTAAAACCAATGTCATTTAATATGCTTTATATTTACTCTGATGACATGCACAATTCAATCATGAAAAAATACCCTTTCATGCTGCGAATCATCATAAGGTGAATGTCTACTTCCCGATGGAATACTACTTACACGTGACGAATAAACCGCTCTATAGGATCCATCAGCTGAAAATTGTTTATTAAGGGATATATCAATTAGCTCAGCAATAAAACTTGCGAGAAAGCTCGTAGTAAACTCGCTGATTAAATAAGTATGCGAATGATAACTATTTCTCTTTCATTCGAATATTCAAAGGAATATATCAAAAAAAAGTCATAAACACCTTGCAATCGATATTCTACATCATCCTCAACTTCACCTTCAACGTCCACTTCTTCCATGATTTCTTCAGAAATCTAAATTGCAATAACGTAATCAAAGATTTTAAATGTTGTGAAAAATTCCTAAACCCAAAGCATCAATCCTGGAAAACGACATATCGAAATTCCAGATCGTATTGTGTTCCATTTATTTCATCCAAGCGGTCATTATTCAAAACTTAGTGGGTTCATTTCAAGTTCTTTTATAAAACTTACGCATAGATTCCAAAAATTTTCAATTTCTGCGATTACTCGAGTTACTTAATAGAAGAAAATATTCTTTAAAATATGTATCTATTTAAACAATCTTTCGAACCTAGTGCACAGTCCAATTCTTTATTCAGGGATCAGTTTAATGTACTCCACTTCTCAAATTTAAGGTTTAGGAATTTATTAACCCAACAGAACTGAGACTTTATAACCTAATAACTTAATTTGATCTTCTGAGATTTACTTCCTATGATTAAAGCTGTTCTTCGAAATATAATCTGCTTGGTTCAGACTATTTAATCCAATCTATTACTCGGTTGTATTCAAATTGCTCCCTTAAAACTTACATCTTGATTCAACCCAAAATTTGCCAAAACTTCAGTCTAATTATTATCTATCACAATTATTATCTACCACGCGGCGTGTTCAAACTTCAAACAAAAAAGAACTTCTCAAACTTCTTCCTTAAAACTTAATTCTTGATTCAACGCAAAACTTACCAAATTTCAATCAAATTATCGCCGGAAAATTAGTTAAATTCCTTAAAAATATTGTTACCAGATGCCAAAGTTGTTTCTATACTATTATTCGAAGAAAGCGCTAAAATTATTATTGCCTGTCTATCATCGATCAAATCATCCGTAACGATCTCTTCCTGAACAATTTCTTCATGAGCAATCGTCTGCTGTTGTCGCTGCTTCTGCAACTCTTTTTGTCGTCTATTACTATCAGACATCGTTATCGCTTCTACAAATTAATTTATCTGCAGAAACTCGGCTCACCATAATCCTATTGAAAAATAACGATAACTACCGCACCATCCTCAAAATAACACTTTATTAAGCTTAAGTTACAGAAAGGAAAAATATAAATTTGTGATGGTAGAAATGTATTACGAAATTTAACGCACAATATCTTTCAGACGATATATTTCAGACGAAATACTCTCAAACTGTTAATTGGCTTATATCATCTCAGTTATAAATGGGCATTACCCATAATTAATAATAGGGGAACTACGAAAACTTGACATTTCCAGCTATTAGTTTGTAAAAATCTAATTTTGAAATCTTACCCTTTTTATTCGGTAAGTGCTACCGAAATGATGGCTATTTATGCCAATTCTTTTAACTTAATGCAAAATTTTTCGACGTTACACGTCAATTTCGACAGCTACAGCCATGTAGAGTCTATAACAAATTATAAACTTTAGGCGCCAATAAATTAAGAGAAACGTCCGCACGTGAATCTCAAACGTGAATAAGTGAAAGCATGCAGATATGAACATACCAAAAAAGCAATGTTGCAGCATAAACGCAAAATTAAGAATAAATGGATGAGATCAGTTAAACGTCTGAACATATAGTAAACGTTCGTGTATGAACAATAAACATACATATATCGATGACTACAATGAAGCAAACACTGTGAAGAAACAAAGATAATCAAAGCGCACTTGTTGACAGCAGCTTGAAATGTGATCATATGGTATAATATTACGCGTCCACGTTCGTAAATAATGTATTTATAATTAATGTTTGAGCATTAACATTTGGCATTTATATGTTAACGCTGAAGAAAACAAAAGTATAGGAGCAGTTTGCTGGCATAAAATAAAATTTGAAATTTTGACAAGAACTCTCAGTTAAATCAAAACCTATGCATCTCAACTAAGAAGAAACTTATAACAGGCATTCAGCTACTTACAGATTCACGTAATCAAACAAAATCAAACACGTATAACATTAATGCAACACGTAAGCCTAACTCTTGCTAGCATCAAATTTAACGTTCGAAACTTTCTCCCGCATCCCAAAAAATCGAATTAGCTGGAAGCCGCGCTAATTTAAAAACGAAAAGAATGAAACGATGCAGCTAAATAGAGCTGCAAAACAGCTAAAAAGAAAAGTCTTACAGCAGTAATGATATTAATAGTTAAGGAAATATTCAATTCGGAAGGAAAAAATCTTTTGAAAATTTTCCGGATTGAGGAATTCAATAATAACTGGAAGGTTACAAGTGCATTTGCAAAAGATATATTTTGAAATTTGAAATTTATCAAATTTCAAAACTTGCAATAATTTTATTCACAAACTTTAATTTGCTTCGTTATGTTTTTGTTTTATTTACTACTTACTATATGTATTTTATTTATTGTTTACTTATTTACCTATTTGTTTACCGCACAAAAAATTTACATTTTATTTACTTGTTTATTTATTGATTTACTTACGTTGTAAATTTATGTCGAACTTATTTGTAGTGAACCATGCTGTGTTATACAAACAGCCGTAATTTAATTTGGCTTAAAAATTGAAATTACAATTGAAATAGCTGAAAGATTAAATTAAATTGTTAATTAAACTAATAGTTTAATTAACAATAGTTTAGATTTTAATAGTTTAGATTACTGAAGTGATAATTAAAGCAATTAAGATGATAATTTGGAAATAGTTGATACAATAGATTAATGATAATATGCTAAATAGAAAATAAAACTTGAATTGAAATGTTTACTATTTGGGGAAATCTTAAAATGTAGCATATCACCGATGGTTTCTTAACATTTTGAATATATTCTTTCGAAATATGAATATGTCTTCTCTATCCTTTAAAAGTCTTAGTTTGAATATTTGCTAAGGTAATAAAAATAGTTCAGAATTTTGTTTAAAATATATTACTCTCTCCTTCCTATAAAATGCTAAGTTCCAATTTCACTTTCAATCAAAGGACTATGCCATTTACTGATTATTATATTATTTGGCAAAATGTTATCACAAATTTTTTGAATATACATATTTGAGTACATATTGAAATATGCATCCTCAACATCAAATTTTCCTGAGATCTATTAATTAAATCTTTTTGGGCTTTTGTCTTGTTTTGGATAGATTATTATCATTACTTCTTCTAAATATATCCTTCGATAACTTATTACTTTCCTTTCTTCCAAAGAAATCATTTATTATCAGTTCACATATGTTACCAGAATCACATCATCTGATATTATCATCACTCAAATAAGCCTTTTGGGCTATCACTCTATCACTGCTACTGTTATGAAAAAATCATTGTTCAATTTCACTGTATATCATCAAACATAAATAGATTGCAAATAAGTTGTTTGAAAGTAGTATACTGATAGATGCATTTTGAGTTGCTGCATTTTGAATTTTGAGTTGCTTTGAAACCATAGAAGTTGATGGTTTGGCCTCGGTGAAATCAACTGAAATTCAAGATTATAAATTTGTTTTATTTTATATTTTATGTATAGTCGATATCATCACTGTTATTATCATTATTTGGACGATTTTTTACACTACCACTGCTATTGCTAATATTAAATCATTATGTCCTCTCATTATATGCCATGAAACAAATATAAATTGGGAAATAAATGATTTGGAAATATACCAAGACATCCTTCCTCAGTTGTTGTCATTATGGTCGTTGTCAAAAGAACTGCTGAAAAAGAGGCTTTCGTCGTGTTCAGTTATTTTGATGCTTTGATAGAAATGCCTAATTGGGACATTTTGAATAGACTAATAAACCAACTTAACCAATCGAAAAAAGGAGAACTTGAAAAATCTATTGCGAAGAATTAACGGATCCGTTAATTTATGAAATATTTAACACTTACTAGTAGTATCAGGTTTTGCGAATATCGGTGATGGAATACTACGAACTGAAAATTTCAATCTATTTGAGATAAAAAAGAGTAATAAAATAATTTATCCTTAATAATCAAATAAATCGGAATATTTGATAATACTATAAATTTTATAGTTATTCTCTAATCGTTTCTCTTTTGTAAAGACTATTTTCTCATATTCAATAGTATTTAGCTGTTTATTTTTTGACTTTCAGTTTCTCCAATTGTTTTTTGAATTATGGAAATTAATCAAAATTAATTGAAATTAATATGCAACTCCAAAAATTGAAATGAAGTATGAGGTTTTCTACTCTTTTGCTCTCATTCTTTTTAGTATAAAGCAAACAATTTCAAAAATGATGAATATAATTGTAAAAGATACGATTGATAGCAGCAACATAGCCAATAAAATTTCCATTCACTTCTCCTATAACTATCGGAAGGTATCGATTGAACTGTTCAATACTGAAACGTCGCATACCACTACCATTTATCCGCATTTCCTGCTCCACAATATCATACGGTGGTTTTTCACCGTTTGCCACTAATATCTGAAATCTCATAATCAGTTTAAAGTTTGTATGTCTATATATATATATATATATGTGTATCTGCTTGTAAATGAAATAGTGGATAATTAATATGCAAAATATTTTTGAAATGATGGAGTGATAATTGAAGGATCGATAAAGATTAGTAATTTGACAAATTGATAAGAAATGAAAGGTATACATGTGCAACGCCTTTGAAACCTGATGGAAGGTTTATTGACAATGTATCATCAGTGATCCATTGGGAGAATTCGGGAATCTCGTGAATATATATCCCTTTACTATCTCCATAATTCACAATATTCATCATCGTAATTCTCAAATGTTAATTTGATGATGAAATTAACTTCGTCAACACAATTTACGAAGAGAATGGAACTTGAAGATAATATTTCAGAATTCTTGACAACCCTATTCTTCTAATGCCCTTCTAATGCAGAAGAATCCGACACATTTTTGCATTAATTAGATGAAAAGAATGAAAAGCGAACTCTGAGGTGATGCTAAATATTTCCTTAAAAATTTTGTCCCTTGTATTGATTTCCTCTGCTCCTTTATTCCATTTCATTAATAATGACTTCGATTGTTCTGTCATAATGTTTGTGATATTTATTGTATCTTGTGGACATCGAGGAGATGGCGCTGTTAATAATAGATTTTCCGCGAATTTTTTTTGTGCTGGATGATATGCGGGATTAATTAGTTTGGCACATTCTGAAATTTATTTTCTACTATTATTCGTGATAATTCCTCTCATTGATACAATATGTTGAATGTAAATTTTAGAAGAAATTAAAACATATCATTCGGAGGCTATCGGAGGCTTAAATCATTCAAATGATTATATTCCAATACGTTTTGAAGTAAGTCGAGTTGAGTGCATGTTATAAAGTTTAGCATAGATTTCAAAGAGGATTAAGAAAAACGAACGATCAACAATCATCGGCGTCGGCATGAAACATCCAAAGCCGATTCGCTTTACTCCTGATACAGAGACATTCCGGATCGAAGCAATTACCATCATTCGACCTTTAGTAATGGGATTATTCAATCGATCACGAATCCATACTGATACCGTTTGTTCTATGGGTGCTGTGTACTGCCATAATGAACCTGCCTGAACAAATAACATTGTTTATAATTACTTTCAACTATTTTCGAATTGGTGGGATTCCAAAAAGCTGGAAAGCAGAGCGACTTTCCTAAATGAAGAATGCATTGACAGTAATTATAATTGTGAAAAATTTTTCTGTCGAAGTGAAGAGAGAATATTTTGTTCGAAGTATTTCGGATTTCTTAACACTATATTCATCATTTCACATCCGTTTCTTAACCCTCTTCATTTTGTTTACAAATTTGTTTACAATACCTTCATATTTTGCTTAATGGTCTCTAATTTATTGTTTTGCTTCACTGTTATTGAAACATTGTGAACACAATGGCTTTGTGATATTGTTTCATTTGTTGCTCCAAGAGGTAAGAAATATAAGGTCATGGTGCTACGTCCAGGTAATGAGAACGCATAATAATCGCCTCCCATTCCGACAGGATGTACTGAAAGACAGTATCCGTAAGAATACATAATGTTAGCATATACACTAGAAAAAACGTTCAATCATGTTCTCACTAATAGTACCTGATTAAAATTCATGAAACAATAATCAACAATGTATCTGATCAGGAAATTATAATATCATTAAATTTGATAGTACGAAAAAGGCAACCTAAAAATGCATCAACAAGAGTTTTGAGATCATTTATGTAGCAGAGAACTGATATTTTGTCTGAAGAAGTGACATGTATTCGATCATTTCCCAACATGTGCAATCCTTCGATGGTGTCATTCATTGCCAAATGGTCGAAATCATACTACAACATAATCTTATTTCCTCACAATTTCAACTTGAAACATTGATGCCAAAATCTCATTCAAACTTCATTCATTACGACAATCATCGAATTTCAAAACCCAAAATGTATGATTTATCCTAGCAAATATGATCTGTGGAAAATAAATGAAGCAAAGCACCGCACGCAAAGATAGCTGTTGAAGCGGAATTTATCCTTCTTTTTTGCAGCATTTGAATTGTCAATTCTAGTATACTCAATATTTAGCACAATATCATTCTCGCTGCTTCGACCAAAAAAGCAGCAATAAGCTTGGAACAAAGCAGGGTTATTTGGTGGTAATATGAAGATGAATTCGGTACCCCACGAATCTGCCTCATGCATATTTAAATCCTCACTGCATCGTACTGCAAATTTTTGTTAATTCTCTTTTCCTGCTTCATTTTTTTTTTCATTCCATTCTCTAGTGAAAAACATAATTCAAAAAATTGAGTGCTTCGTGACAGCCTAATCTTCGTTACCTTCTTCTTCAAGAAGGCAATAAAATTGCTAAGAATTAAGCAGAATTGCTAAAAATTGGTTTTGCATTATTGAGAAAGATTAATTTGAAAAATCCAAATGATTTAAGGAAATGAAATGATAGAAATTATTTTAAGAAATATAGGCACTCAAATCTCTTCGGTAAACAACATAACGTGTTGTGCTAATTACATAGGTGTTAAGCAATATCTGACTTTGGGATAAATGTCGAACCAATTAGTAACTTAAATATTTCTTTGTCTTCATCTCGATATCTAATGTAACATTTTTTATTCAGATTTCTATTGGAATAATTTGTATCGTTGAAAAATTCAATTCAATTAAATTCAATCATACGATTTCAAAAGTTTTTGACATTTTGGTTAACAATTTAAAAGTTAATTCATTAATTTCCAAAATATACCATATAATCTAAAAATAAGAAGCAGCAAAAGAGATTACCAGTAAATGCAAATAAAATTAGTTCCAATACAATAAGCTGCCAGCCACCGAGTAAAGCCATTTCATTCAGATTAAATTACCCGCCGTTGTTAATAAGTGTTACAACGAAAGCTAATATAAAAAGCAATGATAGCCATGTTCTATTATGGTACTTATATATAGTATGCAGAAATTTGCATTATTTACTGCACATAAAATTTGCATGAAAGTTTTTAAAAAATTTTTTTTTTTGCTTCTTCTTATTAAAATATTAACTATGAATTGGTGGCTTAATTTTTTGATATCGATTCCTAAAAAATCTGCAAAACAATTACAGGAGTAAAGATAACATGCAGGGCATTGATTTGCATGCAAAATAATCATTGAAGAAGTTGCGCACAAATGTTGAGGAACAGTCATGCTATTCTCGAGAAAAGTGAATTGATAGCTATATATTACTTGTTTGCTATTAGAAAATAATATGATGCATTTTAACAAACTTAAAATTCACATTTATATTTAAGCTTAAATAAATTATATCGGTTTGATATAGTAACAATGATGGAAGAAGATGTCAGAGATGAAATCATTCTTTAACGTAAGGATTCTGATTCTGAAATTCTCAATTCATTGGCTTCTTTTTAAGCAAAGCAATCGATTGATAATTTTGAAATTATCAAAAGGACTTTTAAAAGAAAAGCTTTTCGAACACTTTGATGATAATCAACGAATGAATATGAACAATAGCATTCTAAACTTATTCAACTATGATAATGATTAATGTACTACATTGTCGTATGATATATCGCTCAGTGGAAAAACTTTCAAATTCTCTAATTTACCTATTAGATTTTTTAAAAATTAAATTCGTTAATAATTGAAATTGTTTTTTTGAACTTTTTAAGGACTTTTTTAAACTTTTTCCGAATTTTTTAAAGATACTTTTTAGACTTTTTTAGATTTTCTTCAGACCTTTTTTGAGATATTTTTTAAACTTTGCAATATGACAATATTTTTTCCAAATGTATGGCTTTTGTTTTAGCCACCTTCATATTAATTATGGCCAATGCGATTTGACTTTGTTTGATAAGCACTGTTTAGGTAATAAGTGATAAGTTAATAAATGATACGTCTAAACAACAAGTTGATAAGCGCTGAAATGTGTTGTTTGATAAGTTTCATCTTGATCTTATATTCCTAAAATATGAGTAAAAAATTTTCCGTAAACTCTAAATTTATTATTGTTACAATTAGCATTTTTAAGGTTTAAATTTAATTTCAGGTAGCACTGATGATAGTTAAGTAAATGTATTCTTTATTGTTGTTTAATTTTGGCACTGATTAGATATCATCGTATTGCTAAAATTTTCTTCTTATCAGTTAATATTTTAGTTTAGATTTTATTTACTGTTTAATTTTAGGTTACTTTGATATTAACAATATTTGCTGCTATCTTTTTTTCTAAGGTTGAAAATTTTTCATTGAAAAATACAATTCCCTTCTTCTTTTAAAAAAGAAAGATCTAAAATTGTGAATGAATTATTGAAGTGAAATATTATTGTGATGGCATTGATTAAATATAAATTAAATTCAAATCAAATAAAATCACTCAGTGAAATTATTTTTAATTTTTTCTTTCTCTTTCCCTCCCTCTCTCTCTCTCTCTCTTTTAAAATAAGAAAAGAAAGGGTGAATTAAAACGATGCAGAAAAAAATTATGAGACATTTTAGGCTATTTGTGTAACCATTTATTGGTCATTTGAAGTGACCAGTGAATTGTTAAAAAGACAAAACAAAAATTTTACTAATATTATTAAATGATCACCATTTCAAAATGTACGGATTAGCTCTTTTATAAACTTATCACATTTAAATAATTCTAATATATTTGTCCTTGTATTTGAAGAATTGCCAACATGTTAAAGATATTAGTTATGTCAAATTGAAGTGTGACCTAAATCTGTCAACAAAGAATAGAAGGTAAAAAAAGAGCATCTCTAAGAACATCAATTTTCTAATAGAAGATTAATTGATGCCAATAAATATTAATTATCTTAATTGGTAGCCAATTTAATCATTTCAAAATTTCAATCGATATATGTATTGTGTTTTGTGAAACGAAATAAATTTATTTTAACAAATTATTGTTTCATAAATAATAACATAAATCAGAATTCAATTTTAACACAACAAAATGCAACAAAAGGATGAAAACATTATTAATACATTCATTATTATTTATTATTATCTGTTATTTACTATTTATTATTATTTATTATTATTAATTACTATTATTATTATTATTATTATTATTATTATTATTATTATTAATTATTATTATTATCATTGTTGTTATTGATATAACAGTATCACTATAAGCTGAAAAAAATTCCATTAAGCGTATATCAAATTAACCGTAATTAAGAGGGAATGTATGAGGAATGATTTCTTTTTCCAGCAGAATTATTATATAAAAAAAGTTATCAGTAATTTGTTACAAATTTGATAATATTCCAATTTTACTATTTTCTCTGCTAAATTTTCTCTCTTTAATTTCTCTCCATTTCTCTTCTTCTATTCAATCGATTAGAATTTATCATTTGTTACTATCACATAAAAATCACTTATATACGTGTATTCACGTTTCTCTCTAATTTCATTCCGTTTACTCCTATCATTTCCGTAATAATACAACACGTTCAATTATAAAAGTAAACATTATGACAATAAAATTTACGGCAAAATAAAGCAATGAAATAAACAACGAACGATACCTTTAACAACAAACAAAGGTATGAAATATTTTGCAGAAAATTGAATATAACGAATAATTTAGAATAATTGAAAAGAGTAAACAATTGTTTACCTATAATTTTATTATGTAATTATAAGTTAAATTAAAAGTGAAAATATTAATTTAATTTAAAATTTTTTTGAAAAATATTTTATTGTTTTTTGAAATAACAAAAAGTTTAAATTAATCAAATGATTTCTTTTTTTTAAATTTATATCCTAAAAACTGGAACAATTGAAAGAAACAAAAATAAACAAAAAAGAATGGAAAAGTTTAAATATCCTAATAATGATAAAACAATGCCATTTTTCGACTAGAAAGTTTGGAATAAATGATTGTTGCCACAGCTATTGATATTGATAGTAATGAAAATGCTGAAAGAATCCACATACTTAATATTGGTATGCATACGCCTTCTTCATGACGATCGTTTAATAAACTTGATTTTGCCATTTGTTCTGGTAGATCTGTAAGCAAATTTCAAAAGAAAAAAAGAGTTACAATAAATTTTGCATTAATAATATAATTAATTAATAATAATTCAAATGTAAACAATTATAATAAGTAAAATATTAACACCTCACCTTTCTCTTTCATTCATTTATTTTGTTTACCTACTAATTTGTTGAATTTTCAAAACGGATCAAATATGGCAGGAAGAAATGTTATTAACATATGTATAAAGAGTTATAAAAAAGTTCCATATTCGGAAAAATTAGTGAAAGATATTCCGGAGGAAGCAATACTTACCAAATCCTTCTTCGAGAATTTTCAATTGTGATGTTGTTACATCCAAGTCAACGATATTATAATTATTTTCAGGAATTGTCCGACGACCCCTTGTTGAATTCAATTCTCCAATAATTTCTATTCCAGTTGTTGTTGTTGCTGCTGATGTTGTCATTGTTGTTCTTGTTGTTGTTGTAGTTGTTGTTGTAGTTGTTGCTGCTGCTACTGCTGCTGTTGTTGTTGCTGTTGTTGTTGCTGCTGCTGTTGTTGTTGTTGCTGTTGCTATTGTTGTTTCTGTTATTTCGGAGAATTTATTTGAAGTTCCAGTTTTAGTGAGAATAATATCAGCAGTTGTTAAGCTTTGATCATTTGTTACACTTAATAAATTCTCATTTTCGCCAGAACCTATAAATAGAACAAAATTTAATAATTTTCAATTTATCACTGCAACTTTTCCTAATAATAATTAAAACAATTGAGAGGTGAACTTATTCCATAAATATGAAGTTTATTTCACTAACGATCCAAAAAATTTCGGAACATTCTAGAATTATATAATTTTTTAAAAGAATGATGGAGTGGGAAAAATTTTAACATTCATTATCCTCCTAAATTTGCATTCCTACTTTGTTACATTTGAAAATTTATACCTGTATCATTCAATAACGTATACATAAGTTATTAATTAATTAATTAGTTAATTAATTAAGCAAAGTTACGAAAAAACACCATTGCTATTATTTGATTATTTCTTGAAGTAAAAAAAGGGGAGATTTTTATAAAATAAAATTTCTTAAGAAATAAGTGATAAAAGGAAATAATTAACCTTCTATTTCATTAGTAAATTCGATGTTACCATCGTTTTGTTGTTTATAATTTACTGAAAATTTTTCGTCCTTCGAAATTTCATTTATATAAATTTGTGATGATTTTGCGATTGATTCATTAGTTAGTTTGATGGTTGCAGTAACACGATCGGTAAATGATGAAATAGATGGTGAAACTTCAAATTCAGATGAATTTCTGGATGTTGAAGGAATGATAATATCTGGCTCAGCAGTCTGAACAATTCGTACAGTATTTGATATAGCAAACGGACCAACGGTTGTATACAAAAGTTGATCATTTTGTAATTCATCTTCGATATGTTGTTCTTCTTCATCTTTCGAATCTGTGGTGATGAGAATTTGATCGTCACAACGTGGTGGCTATAAAAATTTGCTTTTTTTTTCCCCTCTTTTTCAAATTCAAAATAAAATGTTAAATAATTAATAAATAAGAATGAAGTGATAAATGATAAATGATAAAGAATAAATTAATGATAAATAAAAATTAATAATAATTACACGATCAAATAAGTATTAAAATACTAAACAAATTGTTATCAAAATTCAATTTAAACATTACAAAAAAGCTTTCGAATAAATTAATAAATTTAATAAAATAAATTATCAACTAAATATCTTAAAAATACCGTCACATTAGTACAGTAATCTCCCTTCTTAAAACATAATTTCACTTGACAGCTAAAATAAATTGATTCCCGATCTGGAAGATTTACAACACTTGCACCCTGAAAATTATAAAAATTCAGGATTAGTTGCAATTTCAGCATCTTAAAATCAATTTACGATTTTGAGTAAAAGTAGAAATTGGAATAGAAATAAATTCAACATATAAATAATTAATTTTAAACAAAAGAAAATGAATGATGAAATAATATAGCTATTCTACTAACCGCAAAACTATGAGTGAGTCCATTAGAATATATTAATTCTTGAATGATGAAATTATCGGTTGAACATCTGTAAAATTTATATCAGACTATCAGGAGAAAGCATTTTTGTTTTAGTAAATTATACCTAAAAATGTTGAAGAAAAAAATTCCCAAACTGATTGAAATCTAAAGGTTAATTTTAATTTAAATATTAAGTATTAATATAATTTGATGATTTTTTTTTCGATAAAAGGTTAAAAATCCATTTTAATAATTTCAATGATATTTATGAATATTTTGAGAATTCAAATTAAACAATTAAAATATAAAATGTTAAAATATTTTTCACCCATTTTCATTGATAACTTGATGTTCTCCACCTTGTCCATCCAAAATATAACAGCTATGAATAAGCATCGCATAAACATCTGATGGACAATCCCAAACATGAAATACGATGTCACCTACTCGACCATATCGTAATACCGGTCCATTTGGAGAATCTCGATGCAATGTATAGGAACATTGAGGCATTGCATGGCCTGATTCAAGCATTGATGTCGTTAAATCGCTGAAGAGAAAAAGAGAGAGAATTATTAATTTCATTAAAAATTATTATTTATAAATTTAACATTGAAATTTTATTTACAAAAAAAATCAATGCAACAATAGAAAAGTCACAACTCATAATTTATTTTCTTTCCTAATTAATTTTAACTTTTTCAAACTTATCAGTCTAAAAATGAAAATTGAAAAAAATTAAATTTAAAACAAAAATTTGGAACTTAAAAACTTCTGAGAATATTTATAGAATTTCTTAGCTGAAAGATATTTGAATTAATTAAATTCTATAAAATATTTTTGGTAAGAGAAAATCAAAATGAAAATTTGTCAATAACAAGAAATAATTTAATATCAATTATGGTGACATTTTTTTAAAATAAAATATAAGATGGAATAGTTTATTCTTTTTGTTTTCAACTAATAAATAAAAATTTTAATTATTTAATTACAAAGAAAAAAATTTCGTTATTTTATAGTTTGTAATAAAATAAAATAATTTCAACTGTCACATATTTGAAACACATCCTTTGATTGTTTTTAATTCAAAGAAATAATATCATTAAATGATCTTCTAATCTTTCTTTCCTAATTTAACAATAATTAATAAATTTAATTTTATCCTTCACCTTTTATTCCATTACATTCATTCAGGTAATTCAAATAATTATTTTTCCTAATTTAGACGGCGGAATGATTCTCTCTCTCTCTCTCTCTTTTAATATTTTAACTTATTTCAAAATTCATCAATTTTAAACTCAATAAATATAAATGAATTATTATCTTCCTAATATTCATTTTCAATTCTTTTTTACGATCATTTCATTCTTCTGCAAAATACAAAACTATAATGGCTTTATTTGGAATAACTTTAACAAACATAACATCGCTTAGATTACTATCATTCAAATTGATATGATAAATTGGTTGATCATTTTGAGTATCGTAAAGTAATAAAAATTTTTCGAATTCAAATTTCTGTGAATAAATTTTTTTTTTTAAAATCAATTTGCTAAGTTTCTTTTTATAAATTCAAATATGCAAAATTTTGTTAATTTTTATTTAATTAAAAAACTTTCTTTTTAATTATAAAATAATAGGATAGATACCTAACTTGTAATTCAGCATCAACTTCCTTATTCTCTTCCATATAGAAACATCGTACATTATATGCTCGATCAACTTTTGTAATAAATAACTGAAATATTTTGTTTATTTAAATTTTAACTAAAGATAATCTCTACCTGTTCATTGTTCAAAAAAAAAGGAACTTTGATTTTAATTCTTTCAAATAAATTAAAAATTTACCGGATGAAGTTGTACAATAACTGTAAATGAATAAGCCATTCCACGTGGATTTACCTGTAAATAAAATGTGATTAATAATAATATTGTTAATGAAAATTTTTCAAACGCAGAAATTATTATTGAAAATTTCACAAGAAATTTTGATAACTATACTTATTTATTTATTGTAGTTTTTCTTGTTCACGTTAAATTCCTCAAAATAGACTTACTTCACGTTTTCTGTTCACGTTACATTGCTCAAAATAGACTTATTTCACGTTTTCTGTTCACGTTACATTACCCAAAATAGACTTACTTCACGTTTTCTGTTCACGTTACATTGCTCAAAATGAAATGTTGCATGATCGGTTTGCTTGAAGTAACAACCATCCTTATGAAAATGACCTTTGGCAAAAATATATGATGGCATCTGAGATGCTGTTCTCACTCGTACTGCTATAGTACCTTGTCCACATTCTACTTCCGGTTGATCTAAAATTTAAATTTTTAATTTTTCTTTTCATCAAATTTTAGCAAAATGATATGTATTGAAATTTCATGAATATTATTCGTTTTATAACTTTATTTGATTAATTTAATTTTTTATTAAAATTAAAATTTTATTTATTTAATTAACAATGAAATCTTTCTTTCTTACCTGTAATAATTCCACCTAAATTTTGAAATTTAACAAAAAAGAAATGAAATTTTAATTGAAACTTTTGATTGTTTCATAATCGAATAAATTATTAGTAAAAATTTACAATAACTAATTTGTTTTTTCAATTTTTCCCATTCATTTGTTAAATTTTTTTTTTTTTGATAACAATTAAATTTCTTCAAAAAATGATTATCGTTAATTAATTAAATGAGTTGATTTTTGTAGATGGATTTAGTGTTGCCCCATTGGCGCAGTCGGTTAGCGCGTCGTACTTATAAGTGAACGAAGAGATGCGAAGGTCAGCAGTTCGAGCCTGCTATGGGGCAAGTGGCTGTTTTGCAAATATTCAATTCTATTATTAAAATACTAAAATATTAAAATTTCTCAATCAAATTTACTTTTATGAAAATTTAACAAATATGCAAGCTTTTCTAATCAAAGTTTATTTTGAACTTCTTTAAAATGAAAATGTAAACAATTGAAGAAAAACATATTATCAATCGATAAAATTTTAAATAATTTCAATTGAATTTAATTGGAATAATTACTATTTAATATCATAGATTTATTTAATAATTAAAATCAAAATTGGAAATTAAAATAATTGCAAAATTTTCTTCCGATATTTATGAATTATATTCATTTGCATAATATCGGCTGAAATTGAAAATTGAAAATAATCCAAATTGCAATATTTGTTTAATTATGGATATTGTTTGTTATGCGATATTCCCAAATATTATATAACATATTTGTTTTCCATTCAACCTATACCAAATGGTTATAAAATTTTGTGATAATTGTAAAATGGAAATTTCAAATTTATTTTTTAATCCATTATTTTTCATTCCTCTGATATCATACGCTTTTGTTGTGGAATGCATGTGAAGGTCAAAAGTTGTCCCTTTAGCAAACAACAATTTTACAACACAAAAAATGCTATCATTTCTTTTTTGCATATCAAAAAAATTTTTTTCACATTTTAATCGAACCATTTTGTTAAACCTCTTTTTCTTATTGAAAATTTAAATTTAAAAAATTTTGTTGAAATTTTTAAAATTCTAATTTGTAGAAAAAAGTGCTGAATAAATGATAAATTTTCGGGTTTATTTCTTTTTTGTTGTTTGATAACAAATAATTTTAAAATAAAATTTAACAAAAAGTTATGTAAACGATCGTTTAATTTCGTTTGATATGATCGTTTGAAATTAGTAATGATCGAACATGAACGAATAGTTAATGAGCTATGAAGAAGTTGATGATAACCTTGAATTGTATTATTGAACACTGAAGCTGTTGCTCGTATACTGGTAACAATAAGTGATACGATTAATGATACAAATAGCGTTGTTAACATTTCTAAAATTTGAAATAATTTTTTTAATGTTAATGAGAAATTTTGAAATTGGAAAATAATTCAATGAATGGATAATGTTCAAATATTCAAATTTTTTAAACACTTATATTAGAATAATTTAAGTATTTGAATATTTAAATTAAAATAATTTAAATATTTAAAAAATTAAAATTTAGGATAAAAGAAATTTTAATATTGGAATGAAATAAAAATGATAAATAATTCTGCAACTATATATTGCATCAAAATATTATCATTTTTACAGTATCTATCATGATAATTTAGGTATCTCTCATTACAAGACAAAATAATAACTGTATGAAAGTACAAAAATATATGATTATGATAATGTCAGTTACATTACCAATCTTTGGGATTATATCAAATATTTACGATGTCTTTTTTGTCGGAACTCTTTTTCTTCAAGTTCAATAGGTAACTTAAATTTTCTAAGGTCAAAAGTCTGCCACTAAAAGGAATGATAATAATGAGAGCAAATGAAAATGGCAAGTTAAAGTTTTTACTCATTCATTGTAAGTGTGAAAAAAATATACATATTAATAAATCAAAATACTAAACTGAACAAAATTTCAATGACCTATTTTGAAATGAATTAATTTAAAAAAAAAAAAACAAACTCATAAACAACATAAATAAATTTTAATAATAACAGGTGAAATTTTAAAATTAACAAAAAATTAGAAGTCATACCTTTACCTAGAATTCTATTTAATATGATATAAGTTTATTATTGTTATATTGTTCTTTTAATTTCCTACTTTTTTAATTATCTTTTCAGTTATTTAAAAAAGAAACAAAAACAGGAACAATAAAATCCTGAAACAATAACCGGAAATCTTTCGTTATTTTATTTAATATTATCAAAACCATTTTATCATGACATTTCATCAACCGCATTTATAACGTTGCCAATATTTTACATTAATCTAACATTTTTAATTTAATATTAAGGTGATTCATGTCTTACAACGTTTTGTACATATTACCTATGCATGTATTAAGTATTATATAGTAATTATCTGATTATTCCACTGTTAATATATGAATGATCATGTAATTACTAAATATGCCTTATTCATCATTTTCTCTCATTTCAAGTATTCGAGTACTTAAGCATTCAAATAAATGATACCGAAAACAAATGTGAAAGTCAAAAAAGAACCATGTAAATATGTAACTAAAGACATGAGTAAATTGAAAATTAAAATTGGAAATTAAATAATTAGCATCGGAATTATAGGATAAATCAAAATAACCGCAAAACAAAGTTAATAAAGTAAAATTTAAAAAAATTTCCATAAAAAAAATTAAATAAAAAATATTGTTATAACTAAAATTATTATTATAATAAAGTGATAAATTGATAACATTATAAACTTTATCACTTTTCATATCATTAATAAAATATACAAATAACAATAAGTAAATGCAAAAAAAGGTTTTCAAATCAAAATTAATCTCAATTTGAACTGATTTCTAGCAAGGTTATTTTGTTACCACCTTTCTTCTTTATTTCTTTTCCTTCCCTTCCTCTTTCTATCTATCAAAAGAAATTGGAAACAAATTTTGCAACCTTGTACTACTTCAAATGTAAACTTTATATTGCATTATATGAATATGAATAGAAAGAAATTAATGATAGTGAAAAGAAGAAATATGAAATGAAATATCGAAAAAACTAATGTCGTAGAAAAATTGAAAAATTTAGCTAATTGATGAAAATAGCGAAAAGTTTAAAATATATTCAAAGATTTATGCAAATTATTTTATTATTATTAAAACTATTTAATAACTATTGTTTTTTCAAATTAAAATTCGGAAGATATCGATTATAGTTATTTTTAATAATTTAAATTTTTATTTTAAAATATATGTGATAGCCATTATTTATCGTTACATTTAATTATAGTTAAAATAGTTTAAAAAAGTTTCAAATTTTATATTTTAATTAGAATTGACGAAAGGAATTTTTTAATTATAATAGAATGTTATTGATCAATTCAAAAGGTAAATTTAATAATCGTATAATATATATAACGTAATATATATATAATATATATAACATTATAGGCACATATTTTAAAATTATATAGCATTTATTTTATAGCACATATTTTAAAATTAAATTCAAATTATTGAAAATGAATATTATCGAACTTTTTTTCTAATTCAAATTTTAATAAATATTATAGAAAGTATTTTTACCTGTAATTATAGTATTGTAAATACATTTTGTAACAATAAACTAACTTGCATAAATTTTTGAAAACTTTTTAATTTTTCTAATTTTACAAATTAATTAATTTCTTTTTGTTTTTAATTATTACTAAAATTATTTTTACATTATTATAATTTATACTAATTGTGATAATTTCAAAAAAAAATAGGAAACTTTTAAAATGTTAAATTCCTAAAAATGAAACTTTAAAAATTTCCTAATTTTTAAATTTTAATATAATAAAACCTAAAATTGATTTCCTTTTTTACCATTAAGAAAAAATACGAAAAATTTTAAAGAATTTTTAAATTTTAGAAATTCAATTAAATTTTGGCTATTATTAAAAATGGAAATTTGGTGGGTGGAAGTAATGGAATGCGATTAATTTGATGAACTATTCTGCTGTTATCTCCAATATTTCTCAAATGAAAAGAAGAAGGGAAGAGAAAAAAATGAAAGGTTAGAGAAAAAAAGAAAAATTAAATGTCAAAATTTGCCCTTATCTGTTTTCATTCATAGAAATCATTAATTATGAATATTCGATTTCCGGGGATACTAATCATCATCTATTCCTTTTCCATTTTCCCAATCTCTTCCTTTCTCTATTTCTTTTTTTTTCATTCATCTCGAAAGGTCATAAAACTCTCTCTCTCTCTAATCTTTAATTCAAATATTTATTTTAGATGATTATATTATATTATATATGGGAATTTGAAAAGTTCAAAAAAAACAAATGATAATTTTAATTCAAATATTTTAAAAATTTATTTAAGCATTAATTAGTAAAACTATTACATTTCAAAGGTTAAAGTTTAAATGTCATTTCGTTGTATTAGCCAAAAAAAAGGAAAAAGCAGTATGATCTTTTTATTGCTAAAATTTTCCGCTAAAATTTGCATATAAATTATTCGTTTTTGTATTCATAAAAATTATCCTTCTCAGTAGTGGATAAAAATGGGAAATATTCAACGATGGACAATGGTCATAAAGGTTGAAGGTCGAGTGATAAGTAATGTTTGTCCGATATGAAAAATTTTATGAGTACTTACTATTGTTTTCCATTAGTTGAACAGTGAGAAGAAGGATGGGTGAGAATATTTTCAACCATTTCCGTCAACTATCAATTTAATATTATTGGTAATATAGTACATATATAACTAACCCAAGATAGAATATTTGACCTTTTAGTTTTATTGACAAAAGTCTAAAATTTTTGATGAAAAGAAAACGATGAAATTTTAGGAAGGGAAAAGATTGAATAAATAAGAGAAAACGATGAAGTAGAGGAGAAGAATGAGTGAGAGATAATTTCTTTTTCGATGAGTTCATGTCAAGAATGGCTGTAAAGAAAGACCCGAGCAATTAACCTTCAGATAAATGGTTCTTAATGAGGGACAATAAAACATCAATATGTTTTATAACAAAAAGTTCGATATCATCAATAATAAGTTACTATGGTAAGGGTTAATAGACATTAGCCAAAAATATCATTTACAAATAAAATATTTTGATAGAAAATGAATGTGAATAAATGAGTTACATTTATTTTCTATGCTGACATTTGACCCTATTTGAGGAATAGAGATAAATGCTAACAAGAATTTATATTATCATTTAATTTATCTTATCATATCATTTGCAAAATAAAATTTCAAATAGATACTGTAATGAAGTTATAAATGATGATAATGATGCAAAGTAAATCATACTAATTTGAATTCTCTAATTGAAATTGAATGAAAGTATCATTTTGAGAATTCTAATGATAAGTTCAAGAATTTTGTTGAAAATATTTTTGGTCAAAAATATGGGTCTTATTTTATAGTTATTAGGTTTTAGTTGAAATGTTGTGATAAAATTTTAAATCAAATAAAAAGCGCTTATAAGAGAAATTAGAAAATTGTAAAGCAAGTTGGTGAATTCATAGATATTTCAATTTTGATTGGAATTAATAATTGGTGAATTGAGATATTAATATTATTTTATTTCAACACTTCATCTTTTATAAATTTAATTTTTTGCCTTACTATGAAAACGTAATAAATCCGTTTGCAAACGTATACTCTTTTTTTAAACAATTTTTAACGATGTTTGAAAAGAAGTGACAAACTTTAAATGGTAGAATAATGCAGCTGACAGTGTAAAATTTGCATAAA